AATAATCACCGGCACGCCTATGGTATGTCTTCTATTAGTTGGAATTTCCCAAACCTTGGAACAGTGTAGAGTCCCTGGCCATATAATAAGCCCAAGATGAGATTTTGAAGTAGAATCTATACTTGTTAAGTTCAATTTCTTCATAGTCTTCTCTAGAGTCCAAAACAATCTCTCTTTCTCCATTACCATTCACTTTGAGTATCTGAAAAGTAATGACTGCAACTGCCCATCAACAAACGTGTAATCTCTAGTGAGGCTTTGAAATCTAGTTACTGATAATGATTCAAGAAGTTTAGGACCATTCATGGAGACACCAAAAGCTTCAAGGTCTGTTGCATTGGTGGAAACATTTTTCATATCAAAGCCAAAGTTTGTAGTGTCAGCGTTCTCAACTGCCATAGCTAGTGCCATTATAGCATCATAAGCCAACAGTCCAAAAATGTTCGGTTCAGCATCAACAAGGCTTGGATTTTCCTGATGGAATTTTCTCTTCCATCGAAGTTGAAAACCATCAAGCGCTGTTGTTTTCGAAACATAAGGCCTTACACCCAACACTCCTTGCATTGATTCAATCACCGAAGGCTCCAATGAACCAAACAAATTAGTTAATCCATCAGTAATGATCCAAACATACCCTTGATTCATCATTCCAACTTGTTTTGCTTTAGTAAAAAGCCTAGAGCCAAGAGAAGGCAACATGTGCACAATGAACACTCTTGTTTGCATAGTCATTAACTTGTAAAGCTCTTTAACAATTTGGTCATCAGAAACAACAGGAGAAATGACACTTCTATAAGGGACGCGTGTGTTAATAGCTTGCAATGCATCAGTTAAATAAGGTATAACTCCTTCACCAAACTCATTGCCCACATAAATGGGCACAGCTTCTCTCCAACCAAAGGCTTGAATAATTGAAGTTATGGCACCAACCTGAGAGGAGTCATTTTGCGTAACCTGGAAGAAATATGGACTTTTGAGGGAAGTAAGAGAAGGGCTTGTTGCAGAAAATGAAAGAATGGGCACTTGAGATTTGCTTCCAAGATCAATGACAAAGTTGGTTTGCATGGAATTCTCTGGTCCGATTAAGGCTTGTACTTGCACATTCTTTATCAAGTCCAGAGCTATAAATTAAATGAACAAGCAACATTCTCAGTTTTCAAAGAATAAAATTATTATATATAGATAGATATTGGTTGTATTCTTGAATTTTTCAATAAAATTAAAATAATTTGGATCGAGAACCGAAAGACAGTTTTTAATAAAGAAGAAATTTTGCAATACAACTTAGTAACTAAACTTTAGTTTCTCCCTCTATAACTTTAGAGCCTAAACTCTTAGAATTTTCTGACAAATTTCTATGTTACTAATGTTAAAACAAAATTCATCCATTTAATGACTCTGAATTTTCTTTCTTCTTCTCTGAAATGATTCCTTCACTTGCTTTGTCAAGGCTGACACTGACATGCAAGTCAAATATTCTCTGTTTATTGCCTGTACAAATTAAGATTTGTTTGTCCCTGCTTATTATTTTCTCACATGTTAGCACCAAAATTGACTATACCCTCGAGCAGCATTTGAAAATTCATGTAGACTTTTGGGCCAACTATTATACTATTGATATTTATTCCAGTGGTCAACTATGTTAATTCTTTTGTAACGTATAAAAAAAATTAACAAGTATGCATTATATATGGCCTTCATTTTTCTACAAAGTTAATCTTGAGTTCTGGTGTAAATTTTAGTTGTTTAAGAGGCAATACACGTATACTTTTTTGGTTTAATCAGTCGCTAGTAAAAGAAAAACGATTAATGAAACCATATAAGTCTGATGCTATAACAAGAAATGGCTTTAAAAAACCACCCAAAGAAGAGAGGGAGCTGTAGTTTACGTACCAGCAGCAGCTGCACCAATTACATCGCCCTTGGAGTCTCTGGTGTTAAGGATCAACCTGGTTTTGTAGTTAGAATTAGTGGCATAAAAGTCTGAAAGCGCCATGTTCATGCAGCTCAAACTCATCTTCCCCAACTCTTGATTTACGTTAAGAATCACCCCCACATTAACTGGGATTGTAGTGTTTTGTGAAATGGCTGTGTCTGTGAAGAAGATGAAAATAAATAACAGAGAAATAAAGAAGGAGAAAGAGAAAACAAGATTGGTTGGTCTGTGTCTCATCTTTGAAGTTTTGATAGCTTCACTAGTTTGTATTGTATACATATATATAATAATCAGATACGATTTGAAAAGTATGAATTTATATAGAGCGTAGAAGGAAGAGTATATCGTGCATGAGAAGGACTAAACTCCAGCAATTTCTTGCTGACTTTGACTGCGAGAGGATTCCATGCCCCTATTCTCACGCTTACTCGTAAGATATTAATTATGTGATAACACAGATTTATATGACTTGAGTATTTGTAATATATGTATATATATTCACAGTGGTTAGTTACTAAATCATTGTAATTAAAGAATCTAATGGGACTATATAACAAAAAGTCTCTAAAAATGTGTGAAAGTTTGAGATATATGATTGTTCAATAACTTCTATTTTTTATTGTGATCGAAGTATCTAGGCAAACTTCTGCATATCTCGACTTATCTTCAGAGAAAACTAGAACAGTAATCTACCGTCACGGCCCCCTACTTAAATCTTGGGACCTAGGAGACGATCTCCTACTTAAATCTTAGGACCCAAGAGGATTCGAACTTGAGACCATATGTCTTAATCACACATCACAACGCTCGTTCTACCACTTGAACTATCCAAGGTCAATAACTCATTGTTCATAGGAGTTAAACATATTGTATATTTGAGTTGAACGTACAACTTAGAGAGATGATTTAGTCTGATTCTTAAAATATGAATAGTTTACCTTGACCAAATCAAACTATCCAGAGGTATTCTAACTTATAGTACAATCAAAAGGGTATGTCCCCTCCCTCAGTCAAATTTTTTTATAAATGATATTAATTCTTCTTCTTCTTCAACCATATATAATAATTCAAAGTCAAAATGAATCAAGTAATTCAAAAGCAAGAACCTAAAACTAGGTTGTGCAGTGAAAGGACTGTAGAAGTAGACGAATATTTAACACTTTGAATAAGTTTTCACATAATGCTTAATCATCAAACCGTAGCTTCCCTTCCAGGAACCACCTGTTTGTTATGTTAATACTGTTTCTTCTTAGTTATAATTTTTTTTTCTTTTTTTAAAGGTACAATAAACCAGGGGGTTTATATGCATCACTTTTAAGTAGTCATTGAATTCTTTTTTTATATACATATTCGGATCTTCGATGCAACGTTCGGATATTTTCAACTTGTAAAACTTTCGACAATTTCTCATTAAGAAACAAATTCGGATATGTTATATTAATCAAGTTGGATTATAAATTATGACTTAATTACTTTAGCTATTCCACAGTCTTGGGCAAGTGGTCTTCTAATCTAACCGTATACGTCATATTAATTAACTAATTATGTGGAGCTATGGATAGGGGTGTAAATGAGTCAAGCCGAGCTGAGTTTTTGGCTTAACGAGCTCGGCTCGTGTGCTACAGGATCGAGCTCGAGTTCGAGCTTGATCCTGTCGAGTCAAGAAAAAAGGGGCCCGAACCGGCTCGCGAGCTCCTAAAACAAAAAATGAAAAACTGTTAGCATTGACCCAATTCATCAATGTGTTAGTAATTAAACATTCAAGAAAACCAAAACGGATTCAAAGCTCACTAAGATACATATTCAAGATTCTTCCCAACTCATGAAATATTTTCAACAAAAATTGTTTACTCACCAAATTCTTCCTTCAATTTCTGACCTGCGACAACAAGAACACGTGATTAGGGGCATCACTTTCATGGTGGACCAAAGATTTGAGGGTTGAAGTGGATTTAGGGGTTTATGGTTTGCGTCGATTTGGGGGTGAAGAAATTGTTTCAATGTCTGCACGATGGAGTAGTCATTTCTCCGACTAGTTTTTCGATCGATGACAGCAACAAGGCGGGATAAAATTGGTTGATTCACAGTGGAGAGGTTTAGGGTTCGTTTGCTTAGTGTTTACGATTTGGGGGAGAAAGTGTCGTGTTTTACCATTTTTTATAAAACTAACCCAAAGGTCCTTACGACGAGTTCGAGCCACACCAAGCTCGCAAGCTCACGAGTTGAGCCTCCCCCTGTTCGAACTCGACTCACTCACGCCATTGAGTTCGAGTTGAGTCAACTCGACTCACTGTGAGTCGAACTCTTAACGAGCTTCAAACGAGTCAAGTCGAGCTGGGTCGCGAGCCGTTCGACTCGTCTGACAGCCCTAGCTATGGATTTGGAATAATTCAAAGTCCCTAGACATTCAGAAGGAGATGGAATTTGAATTATTTTGTGAGCAAGGTCTTACTTCGTGGTCACAGTCCATGCATTACTGTCTCAATTAATATTGGAATATCACAATAAATTTAATTTTTTAGGAATATATCTTGCAGAAAAGTTATTACGAAACTTCTCAGTGATGATTAGGCCAGACTGGAATTTAGAGTAGAATCAGAACTGACAGATATCTGGGTTCCAATTTCAATTCCTACCCAAAGCCGGCCCTCGCAGGAATTTTGAATTAGAATTCTGTAAGCAAGGTCTTACTCGTGGCCACAGTCCTTGCATTACTGTCGGAATTTGTATTGGAAACAACGAAGAAAGAAAGAAAAGAAAAGGATTAATGCCTTATAACTAGAAGACTTTCAATATGGGTAGCTCGATGTTGTAAGGAAGAAAGACGCCTTCAAAGAATGAAAAATTAAAGAAAAATGTATAAGCACAAAGAACGGTCAATGGCAAATCTCCAAGGAACCTCCCGAGATGATGACTTCATTTGATCTGTAATCATTTGTAATTTACCCCAAAATTTTCGATTAATTAGTTCATTGAATTCCTTTTATTAAGGCATGTTTGATACGTCACCCTGTATAGTATTAGACAAACTTTGTTCTATAGGTGACTGAATAAAAGAAAGAAAAGATAAAAGCATCACTTTGTTACATCAAATATTAAATGTCTTTAAATTGGGAAAACAATTACTCAGAAATATGAACCAAATGTACAAGATTTCTAGTTAACTACTACACTAAAAATTAATTGTTTCCTCACAATACAAACAATATGCAGAAGGGTTATACGCCAGCAGTAGCGGCAGAGATGTTATTAGCACAGTACATAGAACCATAAAGACCTTGTTTTATATGTTCAGCTTCGCTCATTCATCTCTTGAAGCAGGATCCATCCCAGTTGATGGGCTATCAGCAAAATACTCCTGGTGCTTCACGTTCACACCGTGCTGCTCATTCAAATATAAAAATGGAATCACCATTAAGTGAAATATAAATGGGAAAAGAGAAATTAAAATTAAAGCACATCTGTACATTAAAAAAATTATGGTTTTCTCAATATCTTAACTAGACATCAGGAAATTAGACCGATTGCATATACTATCACCCTGACCATAAGATTTATTACAACCTTATACAACTAAACCTTATTACAACCTGAAGTTCCAGTTTAAAGAAAATTAACCATGTCCAAAACCATTTGATGGCATATATAACATGCTAAAAGACATTCAAATATTGTTTCTTTCAACCCCTTAATCTGCCTAATAGTCAAAATTAAAGGTGATATCAAACAACAAAATAATTGATTCAAGCTATGTTAAATTTAGTTCCACTCAAACATCATTGATGCACGTAATTTATCCCACAAGTAGTACAAGCATAATAGTTATATGTTCATCATATGAAAATGACAAAAGGCCACATCAATGATATAGTTTGACTTTACATTAAGAGTCACATAATCATCCCACATGTATGAAGAAATTCTCAAAGAGACAGACACTTTCAATGTTTCTCGTTCCAAAAATATCAACAACTCATACAAATATCATGTAATGTTTCAACGTTAAATTGCAGAGTTTGACATCCAATACAAACCAGAGAGATAAATCCCCCACTTCGAGTTCTTAGGAAAAATATAACTGTGATGAGACTAGCAAAGAAATTTGACTCTCAAACAAAGATGATATAAACATTTTAGTGATTACCTCACGCAGTGCCTTTGAAAGATCTTCCATTGTCAAGATTAAGCGCTTGTCCTGTTCCAACAAAAAGATTAGACAAGCCAAAAACAACCAGTACATTGTTAAAATAAAAGCAAAAGATAAAGCACCTTCTGTTGCTTTTCCCTTTTGTCCTTGACCACTGCTGCCTGCCTTGCCTTGCATTGCCTACATTAGGGTGCATAACTGCGTTATAAATCTTCCAACAATAATTCCAAATTAACACAAACAAACAAGATAACCACTACACAGCAAACTCTTAAAATAGTTTATAGGAAGATTTACTAGGTGAATTGAAAAATTTTGGATGTAATTAACAAAATGCTAGATCCCAGTAGAAAAAACAAAAAAAANTCTCAAAGAGACAAACACTTCCAATGTTTCTCATTCCAAAAATCTCAACAACTCATACAAATATCATGTAATGTTTCAACGTTAAATTGCAGAGTTTGACATCCAATACAAACCAGAGAGATAAATTCCTCACTTCGAGTTCTTAGGAAAAATATAACTGTGATGAGACTAGCAAAGAAATTTGACTCTCAAAAAAAGATGATATAAACATTTTAGTGATTACCTCACGCAGTGCCTTTGAAAGATCTTCCATTGTCAAGATTAAGCGCTTGTCCTGTTCCAACAAAAAGATTAGACAAGTCAAAAACAAGCAGTACATTCTTAAAATAAAAGCAAAAGATTGAGCACCTTCTGTTGCTTCTCCCTTTTGTCCTTGACCACTGCTGCCTGCCTTGCCTTGCATTGCCTACATTAGGGTGCATAACTGCGTTATAAATCTTCCAACAATAATTCCAAATTAACACAAACAAACAAGATAACCACTACACAGCAAACTCTTAAAATAGTTTATAGGCAGATTTACTAGTTGAATTGGAAAATTTTGGATGTAATTAACAAAATGCTAGATCCCAGTAGAAAAAACAAAAAAAACATAGATTCCAAATTATTTCAACCCCAAGATTTTGTGTGTGGTAGAATGTGCCACAAATGTTGTACTACATGTTTGCCAACTTAATCGCAAGTTCATTTGAAAACCATAGCTTTCAGGTACGTTCATCCAACTCATAAAAAAGCCTTGGAATTTAGGTCAAAGCAAGAACACAAGGAGAAAAAGTTAATAGCATACACAAGAGCATCATTTGCAACTTCTGAAACAAATTTCTGCGTGGCAACCGCTACCAGCCTAATTCTGAAAGAAATAAAATATGAAGTTAATTTAACTTGACAATATACGATATTCAAAGGAAAAGGACAAACAATCAACAAAAATTAAAAAGCTGGAGTTTTAGCGTCAAGAATTAAGCTAAACAAACAGTTAAGCAACAAAAGCATAGATTTTGCAAAGCTTCAGCATAAAGTCTACAGCTTCACTACAGGTAAATCACTTATGTAAGTTAACTCCTTCAAATTGGAAAGCACACCAACAAAAAAGCTACAAGAAGAAACATAACTTTCAGCCTTCCTGAAATTTTGCTTCCTTCCAAATAAAATAAAGATTTGTTTCAAACGGTTTATTTCTTTTATTTATTTTTTCTTCAAAAAATTTCAAAACTATGCTATATCAAGATAAGAACTTGAAACATATATAGCTAAGTCAGCACTTTCCTCGAGCTCTTAATTCAGGATTCAACACTAGCCACCTAAAAACAAGGTTCGGAAGAAGTATTTGAAACCCCAGGAACAAAATTCATGTTTAAAATCGAAAAAAAATAAAGAAGAAATACCTACAATCTAACATCGGGACATTGAAAACCGCTCTTTGCTAAGTAATGCTCCACCAATTCATCAGGTATCTGTTAAAGAAAGAAAAAGAAATTAAAACAGAGACGAATCGGTAAATAAGAAAGAAACAGAAAAAATAAATAAATAAATAGAAAATTACAGTGGGAGTGTAGTCCATTAGAGAAGCGAGGAAGTCGGTGAGAGCAGCATCGTCGTCGTGACGTCCGTCGCTCGATTGCTGGTGGTTATGATTCATCTTCTCTTTCTTTTACTCTGGCCTTACCCTTTCCAAAATTAACCACCTCTCTCTAGATCTATTTATATATAGCGCCTTTAATCCTTATTTCACTTATGCTGAATTTTTTTTTTTTTTTAATTCAAATATTAATAGTAATAAAAATATAATAAGGTTCATTTTTAAATATTTATAATATAAAATAATAAATTTTCTGCTTAATACGACTTTAATATCTATGACCCCTAAATCATAATATGTATAAAAATTATCCGCTCATAGGCAAACTAAGAGGATTACAAATTAATAGAACGCATGATCTCAAATTCAAATTTCCATTAAGCTCAATAGCTCCCTTTAAAGATTTTTCGAACTATGCGTAATCCAGACATGTCAGTTACTAAAAAAAATGTATAAAAATTATAATTTATAGGAATATGCAAAATAATTTGTTTATATTTAACTTTGGGTTTTTCAACGATATAATAGTATAATAATTTGTAAACTCTTACCGTAAAACTTATAAATAAAAACCTAAAAATTTATAAAATGTTCATATTCACTGATTTGTCATAGAAACTTTGTAATAGAAACCTTCACATGGCCTTGTGTAGGTTTGCAATTTCTTTCAAGTCGTTGTAATCCAAAGGCACAAAGCATTATTACAAAGGAGGCCAATTAACAATTTAAATGGATGTTGCAAACACATATATGCAGACTTTGGAGGATTTTATTGCGTTAAAGAACACAGACTGAAACAAATCTTTAATCTCAGTTTGCCAAAAACTCAAACTCGGAACGCCGAACATTCTGTGAAGTTCCATTTAACAAGAAAATATTGTCGTCTAGTATTGACAGCTCTATATTGATGAAAAAAGGGAAAAAGAAGGTAAAGAGTTGAACAAATCTATCTCGACTTCTGTTGGCAATAATGTAGAATTCCGTGGACATCGATAATGCCAGGAGGAAACACAGGATCAGTTGCAGCTCTCACAGCAACTTTGGCTACGGCAGTGACATTAGCAGGAGGAGTGAACAGAGGTCCAACAAGCGGCAACTGATTCAATGGTTTAGCGTGTTGGAGAACCTGTTGAGGTTTCAGTATAAGCTAATCAATAACCCATGAGACATTAAGTTCCCTGACGCATTATAAAAGTTGAGTTTTGACTCTCATATCTTTCCTCTGCTAAAGCAAAAACTAAAACTGATTTATATTTAGGGCAGAAAATCTAGAGTCTTTTTTCAATGTTTAATAGCAACTGCATCAACATAAAATAGAAACAGATAAATATATGATATGAAGCACAAGCCATTTACCGTCTCCAAAGGAGAACCAACTACGCCTAGAGGTACTTTCATGCTCCCAACAGTTCGAGTTCCATATATAAACCCAGGCTTCAAAATCACTCCTGGAAAATAAAGAAAGACATGTGAATGTTAGTAACACACTAGAACTATTACCTGAAAATTCAGTCTCCATAGCGCAAACCACAAAACAATTTTAGTTTCTCATGCTAGTGGTAGTAGAACACTAGATCATACTAACAAAGACCTATACATCGCAAATCCATAGCTGGCTTTTTCAAAATTGATACTGCTATTCAAATTCAAAAAAAAAATCTACACTTGTTGGTTCCTCTCTCAATTCTTATATAGTTGAATTAAGACTAGAGCAACAAATTAGAGAACTACTAAAAGCTTACTACTTGAGATGAGAAAACTCACCTCCATAAGGGAATTTGGTCAGTAACTCTGTTTCAGCAGATTTCTATACAAAATGAAAATAAAAGGTTAGGAATGAAGGTTATTTGGATCCTTGGGAAATAATAATTATAAGATTTAAGAAATAAGACCATTCCAATTCTCAACAGCTTCTATTGATTCTTAATACCAATTAACTACCAGCAATACCAGAAAAGATTACCTTTCCCTCATAATATCCATGCAGCAAGTAATTTGCTATGCCAAAATCAGCAGCAGATATATAAACAAATCTTTTTACACCTGCATGAAAAAAAAATGAAGGGTCAATCAACCAATGAAATTGGGTAAATTAATATATTGCATTGAAAGAATCAAACTCCATTCTTTAATAGTCCACTCTACCGAGCAGGTGTTTGTTACCACCTTCCCAACACTCCCAAATAACCAGATCATGTTTCTATACATGATTGGCCAAATCTATATAAAGTAAAATTTCACAAATAAAGAAGGCCAAAAAATAATTTCCCACTCTGATAGAATTTTATTTAAGAGCATGTCAAACAAAAGGAACCGTCAAGTGATCTGATCTGAAGTTCAAAAGAAAATAGGTATTATATTGTGAAAACTGCTAGGTTAAAGAATTTTTAACTGTATTTTACTTACCTAAGGTTATTAAGTAGCATGAAAATAAGCACTAAGAAACAAGAACAAAGAAACATAAGAAAAAGCCTCACTATGTAAACAATAGCACACCTCAGTTGCATTTAAAGATCGTAAAGAGCAATTGGTACACCTGAGGCAAAATAATCCCATTCTCTTGGTGTATAATAGACTACTACTAGAAAAACTTTCAACTTTCAGAGTTCTTAAGTTATTGACTGTGTCACATTGGATGAGATACGACATCAGTCATCAGTAATATGTTTTGTCTAATGCTTCTTGGAAAATATCATTCATACAATTCTAAACCACCTTTTGTAGATATCACCTTAACTTAATTTAAAAAAAAACAAGCTAAACAACTATATATTTATACCTTTTTCTGAAGCAGCTCTAATTGCATTGATGTTTGCAGTCCCATTGATCTTATACATGTAAGAGTTGGATCCAAAACCACCAACACAGGAGATCTAGAATATTAAATTCAAGTTAGCCAGAGAAACTATCATCTCACTAGTGAAAGCAATAATGACAAGATGATCAGATCCAAAGTAACTAGCAAATCAAATAATTATATAACAAATAGAATTTTTATGCAGTTAAAAACAGTTCCCTACTGTCCTAAAGAGTTAGTGTGTGTGTATCCACAAGCATAGATTTGTCATTCCCAAACTAGCTCTCTATTGAAGGATTAATAGGAAACTTACAATAGCAGTCACCCCATTCAAAGCTTCCTTCCATGAATCAGGTGAAAGAAGGTTTCCTAGAATTGCAAGACAGATTACAGTTATTATTTATCAAGTATAAGGTCCTCATGATAAGCACTAGCCAAGAATTAGTACCTTGATGCCAAATTACATTGTTAGCCCAGGAATCATGTAAAGATGATCGACCAGACCTGAAAGAAAGAAACACTCACTTTAATGAAAATAGGATGAATAAGATGCTATACAAGATATTAAAAGGCTATGTAAGTGTTAACTTAACCGGCAAATATTAGCATATGGAGGCAAAATTATTGGCATCCACTTGGTTAACAATAACCAACAATCAGAGCCTACAAGTGATTTATAATCATAGAGGAGTCTAATACCTGCTAAGGCTAGCAACAGTGAGACCACGGTCCAAAGCTTCTCTACAAATATGTGATCCAACAAACCCATTGCCGCCCAAAACAAGTAACTGAATCAAATTACATGTCAGTCAAAATGCAGGAAAGCAATCAAAGCATACAATAAAACAACAAATCACAGGGATGGGAAAGCAAATTCTTCGCTGCAACATTACCTTCTCTGATGGAGACGGGGGCACATCTACTGTTTCCGCTTCCTCAACCTTAAGTTCATCAACCTTATTAGAATCATTCGACAGATATCTCCCATTCCTTGACGCAGTCACCGCACTGTTTCAATAGAAATGTGAGTACAGGAAAACTACGACACAGTTCATAATAATTAGCGAGAGAAGGCATTCATTAATTCATTCAATTTTTTCACCACAGCTAACAAATGCCACTTACAGAATTCAAGCCAAAGACAAAACGAAAGTGCAATGATGTGCTATGTAAAGTAGAGTCACAGAGACATTATGTACCGCATTGGATTCAATGATGGTAAAACAAACCCATAAGTAACGAAATATTCCCAGAAACTCAAATCAATAGTTTATATGATTCATTAGTAAAATGCACAAAATATTTCCCACCACAAGCTTTGGATTTTAATAGTTATACTGAGAATGCAAATTCACTTCAGCTCCACTCTTTTACCTCAAAAACTAAACACATACATATGCAAATTTTCCAAAACCCAGAAAAAAGAAAACGCATAATCATACGTAACCGAAGAGAACAACACCGATGAAATTTTGTAACTTTATAAGAAACATAAAGAAGAAAAGATTTACTTACTAGAGTCCAGACGGTGATGGTTTTGAATGGATCAACCGTGACACGATGGTCCTCATTTGATACTTCTCAATTTCTGTTCACTCTAATATTTTGTTTCTTAATTTCGTTTAAACCGGTTTTCGGCCCCGAGAACTGGAGAAGTATGGCTTGTTCACAGAGAAAAACACATGGCGCGTAACGCTGATGACAGGTAGCATAACACATGTGGCTCGATGCGAGCCTAGAGATAATAAGGGTAGTGTTGACACTTGACACATTTCGGTAGACGGTAAGATGCGCGTGAGCGCGTGCATTTGTTCTGATGATCATTGGCTTGGGCTCCACAAATTGTAGGTACTCCCAAATTTAATGGGCCTAAATGAAGTTTAATGGGCCTCATTGGGCTGAATTACATCATCCAAAAGTTCGGCCTCGGACAAAATTACAGGCCATTTAGATAAGCCTTGTTGGCCCAAAATTGAAAACAGTGGGCTTATTTAAGTCCCATCAAATTTATTTGTAAACCCCATTAATAATTAAATTTATTTTAAAAAATTTAATATAAATAATTTTATATCTTAGGCTTCCTTATTATATAAGGATTATTAAACAACTTACGTACAACTGGAAAAGCAATCTCTCTCTCTCTCTGTCTTTTTTCTTTTTTTTTTTCTGATAATAATTCATTTTCATCGTGTAAGTCCTGTTCATTAATCATCAATTTTAGAATGAGAAATCACAAAAAAATGTAATTACATCTAGGTGATCGATGATTCAATAAAAACTTTTAGGTATGTTATTCAAAAGATTTTGAATTCGAATCTCTCGACGATTGTTAATAGCGGTAATCACTGGAATTCTTATTCGACCGATAGTTTCAAGGTCTTAGGATAATAGTTAAGATACGTGTAAACTGGTCCGAACATTTCTAATCATAAAAAAAAAAAATAATAATAATAATAACAAGAAGATGTATTACTTACCATGTGAGTTGGTTGATAAGATTATCAGTGTTTGAGGTTATAAGTATGACCAGTAATTATCAAACTAATTGTGCATATTGAGATGATTAAATAAGGGAATAATTAAATAACATGCAGATTTGATCATATATTCCAGTGTCAAATTGCCAACTGAAACGAATCCAAAATATGAAGATACTCTTTAATTATTCATCTAAACCAAAACAAAAGTAATATGGATTATATGGTGGCCTCCCACACTGGATATGAAACTTGAGCTAGAAAATACAAATCCAACCATGCATCTAAACAGGATTAAAAATTAAAAGAAGTTGGTTGATCAAGAGCTCAAGAGTCGAACAATATAAAGAATTGAAATCCACTCGCTAGAGCAAGTTGGAGAGGCTTGTTCTGATAGCAGTAGCACAGCAGAGTGGTGGAAAAAGACAGAGTATCTAAGATTTCATGGTCCCTCACCTGATGCATTTATATAGTACTACTATATATCTATGAAAATCAACTGAAGTCGCTATCCCTAACTAAAGGAAAATTCTGGGAAACAGTGATAAACTTGTGCAATACTGATGCACAATCCAGATCAGGTGATTGATTCAATACCTTACGACATATATATCAATATGAAAGATCATCTAATTACTTAACCTAATTTTATTTTCACTTGATGCATACCAGTATATATGTTGAGGCTAAACACATGAAAGCACACTTAATTCTCTAACTCCAGGACCAATTAAGAAGTTCCAAAAAGCAGCTAGTAAGTAAGTGTTAGGTGATCAGCTCAACTAATTAACTGCTTCAATTCATTATAGAACCTGTAAACTTAAACTCATTAAATTTAAATTATTAGGTAAGATTCAAACATGAATATTTAAGTTTTAAAAAACCCCTTTTCATAATCAAGAGAAACCAGGATATAGCTCTCAAATCACAAGATTGATTTAAAACTAAAAGATAAAGAATCATATTATACATGAAATAGACAGATAGACGAATCAAACTCAAAGATGAAGTGTCACGTCAAAATCGATAATATTAGGGATTGGTTAAATCTATATGTGGTTATATATATACCGGCTGCTTAAGGTTGTTTTAGGGTTTGTGTTATCTTATGTGGAAGAGAAGCTAGCTACGTCATGGCCGATATGGATTGAAATCCTCCACCCAAATGGGGGAACAGTGCTCTCTCTGTCACCCCATTATTGCCTGTGCTGTGACAAAAGATTCCAACACTAAATATATAGCTGACTCTTTATAAAAGTTCTCCATCTTCATCTATCCCCCTTTCAGTTCGTTAACACACTAGATCACATGTTTAACTAGACGATTATGAATCTTTAATTAAAGCCAATCTAAGTGGCCTATCCACTACTTGTTTACTATACTTTATATTCCACATCATATCAACAATTCCTATGATGATAGAGATACGATATTTCATATATTCATATACATATTTGTTCTATTCTCCTCTTTTTAGGTTTCTAAAGAATGTATTACAATTATTTCCTAATCTTCTAATTATTTATAAAGTAACCAACACTAAGTATGGAGGTACTGTACTTAGTTATGTGATCAATTTAATAATGGATATATATATGTAGTGGACATGTCATATTATTTATTTTTATCATTAAATTATGTTGTTTCATTGATCTGATGCGATAGGGAATATCAATATCAAATGATCATATAATTATAGTATGAGTTTGATCTATAGAGTTCACGTGATCCATGTTTATCAGGTGAATTCTGGTGTATGATGTTTCGCTTCTATGATGATAAGGAACAATGATTTAAATAATAAAGATCGTGCTACAGCTAAAAATTATGCTTAAAAAGAAGCTCAAGCTAAGTACAAAAGTGGCGTTTGATTATTTGCTTAAAGTTAACACAGAAAGAAAGATTGATGATTCCATTAACTGAAAGAATAAAAACGAGGGCAGATTTCAACTCCAAGTGGCTTTGCTTCAGATGAACAGAATATATATTGAAGCAAGAAAGGGAAAAAAGTTCAGAAAAATTTAAAGCTAAAAAAAATATTTGAAGCATCGGTGAGGAGACAAAGAATAGTATAAATTCCAAAAAAAATAAAAAATCTAGGGCAAATGTGACAATCCAATGTTAAAATTATAGTTGAAAGAAAACAAGAATTAAATTGGAAATGAACAAAAGTTTTGGTGGGTGGAAGATGATGAAAAGTGGGAACAGCATACTTGAAAAATGGGAAATAAACGGGTCCTACACACTAGCAATTAGGACCCAATGGGACCCGACCGAGGACCCACATAAAAACAAAGCGAGTGCGTTGCCTTCTCAGTGCTTGTACGGCCACTAGGTGATTGGATACGAAAAAACAGTGAGGCCAAGCGAGGAAAGAGGTAAAGTCCGAAGGCAATGGGGCCTGCCGGGCGGAGAGTGAAAGGGTGGCAAACAAAGCATAAAGTAATGGTGGCGGCGTGGGCCGGGTTCAATCATGGTGCGCCAACACCGACCTGCCTCGGCACCTCGCTCATCTCCCAACAAAACAATTTCCTAAACTTCTTTATTTTGGGTTCCAATCCCTCTACATCATCCATCCCCACCTAAACCACCACTTAATCAACTCACTGAGGAATGAACATTTTGATTTTCTAAATCCCAGATCAAACTAGTATTCATATAAATAAATAAACTTCCGATCAAATTAAAACGTCTGTGAAAGAGAATCAGTACTCAGATGTTTAGTGAGAAGAAGATGATGAATTGGAACTCAAAATGAGTGCTTATATTATATATATATATATATAGCCAAGTGGTGTAGTTGGATCCTCTCTTTGTGTGGCTTGAAAGGCAAGTTCAACAGTTTCATCACCTTGATTTTTGAAGATTAATCGTAAGATAAGGTGGCTGGCACTGGCAGTGAATCTATCCAATGTACGAAATAGCTTACGTAGAATAACACTAAGAAGATTTTTGTGTTGGGTGAGTATGTTCATCATTGGAAAAACGACTCTCTTCACTACCCAGTTGCGTATACCATTAATGTTACTGGAGCTTAGGCTCGATTTGTTTGCCAATAAATCATCACAAATTTGATCCACCATCTCTACTGCGTCTATGTGACATACCTCTCTAATGCAAAATTATACATGATTAAGATGGCGATTCTAATCAGCAGATGTGGGTCAGCAACTGCTCTCCAACAGTAATTCACGAGTGAATTACCTACATCTGCATGCCATGGTGTCATGTGACTTCTGAACTAACGAGGTTATTATTAATTACTAACTAAAACGTGGCAAGTGGAGTGGGTAGATAATTTGATCGAAATCGATCAAGATATAATAGCCATTCATTAAATCTCATATACTTTTCCTAATTGTTAATGTGTTCATAGAAATTAAGCACATGAACAGAAGTATTTCTGCAATTATACGAAGTTGCAGGCATATGCATGAGGGCGAGAGAGCTAGCTGGAGAAAGAAACCCCAGCCAGCAATTAACCATTCAAGATAATAAAGTATATATAAATTATAAATTAATCTTATTCGAATGCATGCATTCATGCTCTAGGCTTTTCTTACTGATCTCAGTCAGGTCAGGCTAGCTTTTACAATTGTTCCTTACTGTGTGTTGTTTTGTGTAAAAATCGAAGGCGTCGAATCTTCAAATAATTTTATAAATAAAGCGATGAAGATTATTGGCATAATAGATAGAGATTACAGTGAAGAAACATAGAGATGATATGGAGATCAGAAAAAGCAGAATCGATTGTTGCCACTTTACCTACAATTGTTATTGTTTTTTTATCTTTACTTAATGATTATGGTTGCCCTCCTTATACCCACATCATTTCATGATCATGTCATCACTCTCAACTCAGAAAACCAGTGCCTTTTCACTGTAGCTTAAGATATGGACCATCAAATTATGCTTCTCTCAAGATGATAAATTCCATTGTTAATTTCAATGTCGAAAAATATTACATCATGTCATCATCTTTCACCCATATCCATAGTGCAGTTTTTGACTTTTGAAAAATACCCCGCACCCCCATTTAATTTATTCTTTATTTCTAATCAAAAGCGACGTTGATTATCTATGCATGATTCACTATTAGCAAACACCAATGATTTTATCTAATTTCTTAAATCCCACTTAGTTAAACAACAAAACAAATTGTTCCAATTTAATTCCCTCTTTGCAATGACAATTTGCCCCCATACCTCTACATTATAATTAATGGGCAGATTATTTGAGACTTGACACCATAACACATTTTTAATAAAAGAAATAAAAGAATATAATATAATTAGTGGTAGCATTGAATTTATCTCTTTAAATTGAGAATATAATATAAATTTCATACTATCCCAATGACAAATAAAAAATAAAAAATAAAATGTTATGTTCATAGCAATTTCATGCGTTAAAACAATGACATTGCATTGCACCTTAAAAATTCCAAAAATTATTCTCTCCCATTTCATAGGGCTGCCATTGGTTTTCGTTCTTGGACCCACTTCAGAAGGTGGCCCATGATGGTTGGTCTGCTGGGCCCGACCAACACATCCACGAACGTCACTATCCGGATACAGAGGATCCGGGTTAATTATATCCAACAACCAAACAGAGCCTAATCCGTGACCCCCGACGAAAAATAATAAAATAAAATAAAAACTAAGTAAATAGCTCCCTCTTTCGCTACCCCACCTTCCCCACTTATAAATAAACTCACCTTCGCGTCTCAACTTCTCAAGGTTCGTTCACATTTCTTCATTTCTTCTTTCTTTTTGATCTTCAAACTCTCTTTTACAAATCAAGAAAATGAGAACTCTTGCCAAGTTCAACGCACAGTCCACACCAGCAACACCGACAATGACGATGTCAGCAGCAGCCACAGCAACGATACCAGCAACTGAAGGTTCATTTTCTCCGCCGGTAATGGTGGCGCAACAGCGGTCTCCATGGCACTCTCCGGTGCCTTACCTCTTTGGAGGGTTAGCGGCGATGCTGGGTTTGATAGCTTTTGCTCTCTTGATCTTGGCTTGTTCTTACTGGAGATTTTCGAGTCTTTTAGATGGCAGTGATCAAAATGGTGACAGGGATTTGGAGAGTGGCGAGAAAGAGCAGGAGGGTGGTTCTGCTAAAGCTGTGAAGGTTTATGAAGAGAAGGTTTTGGTTATAATGGCTGGTGATGTGAAACCAACCTTCTTGGCCACGCCTGTGTGCAGCAAAGTTTCTTCTTTTGGTGATGGCAAAGAGATGATTGCAAACAAAGAGGGAGAGAAAGTGGAAACTGGTGAGAAAGTGAAAGAGATGGCTGATGAACACGAAGCAATATTGACAACTCCTCATGAAGAAAACAGCAGAGACAACCAAGAATCCCAACGAGACCAAGAACAACAAAACCAGTAACCAGAGCTTCTTCTTCTTTTTTTGGCCTCTTTCTTTGTAGAGAGAGCATCAAGAGATCTTTTTTTCTTCTTTAATTTCGTTTGTTTTCGTTTTTTCGATTTTGAGGTCTTGTGGGTTCTAGATTACGTCCCATTTTGATTCGGGAAATGTAAATTTTGGTGAGATGAATTGAATAGAGATGAGAGTGAGTTATCTTTACAGCTAATTCCAGCTTATGTATATTGATTAATTGAGCAAGCTTTTTTGTCCGAATGAAATTATGGTGAAGTGCAAAGAACAGTATAATTTATAAACCTGCGGCGTGCACATAGTCTGAAGAGCAAAAATAAAATGCTGTAAATGGAAGTTTTGGTTCAAATTAAATATTATATCTAATCTCATAGCATATAAGAAAGATACTATATAATATAACGTATAGATTATGGTTAATGGAATAACCTTTTGTTGAAGATATATAATATAATCACTTCACTTCTAATCTAATTTCTAATGGAGAATAAAGCAAACAAAATGACAGAGCCACATATATTTTCAAAGGTCTAACTCTTTCTCTCAATTATGTTGCCGGGAAATAATTTCCCATACGTGGTGATGGCGCCGGAGAATAAGTCAGGCGACTGCTGGGGTTAGTTGGGGAGAGAGAGAGAGAGAGAGAGGGCATTGATTGATGATGAGATCAGCCTCTCGCTATTTTCTTGGGACGTAAGCTGGAGACACGTGCTGGATTGTGAGTGGTTGGAAGGTGTTGGAAAGCTACGTGTGAAATTTTAGGAGCTGGTTTTGCTTTTTCTTTGTCCCAGTGCGGCGACGCGGAGCCGCGTTTATTTTTTAAATGAAAAACTTAAAAAATAAAATATGCTGCTAGGGCACTGAGTGTGTAGATCTTGAGAACAATCACTGGCCACCGTTGGATTAGTATGAAATTTCTTCATCAAAACACATAATTTATAATTAATACAGTAAGTCTTTCAGACTTGAATAAATTCATATATTACGTAATACGTATAGAGAATTCAAGAGCATAATTATATTATACTATTATTTTAAAAGATCTGTTTGATACAGGCTTTTATATGAGTAAAAATATGTTTCTGATTAGTAGTTGTTACAAAATATGTAAATCACATGTGATTAAATTTCTGTAATCATTTTTCTATTATCGCATAAAAAAATTTAATGGGATGAAAAACATATATGTATTCAATTACGATATATATAATTCAAAATATATATGTGTGTGTGATTATATTTAATTTTTAAATCATCCAATCATATTGCACATCAGTTTATAAAAAAAAAAAATGTGTACGTATAAGTATTTATTATTTAATCAATATTGCCCTCTCTAATTTAATGTAGTGCCGTTTTATTCTGATTAATTAAAAAATTTTAAAAAAAACTAAGGTTGGCTATTTAGCTTAATAAGTGAGATATGCATACCGGTTGAGAAAATAATGGAGAAGAGGCAATTCAAGCTAATGCTTATTGGACATATATTTATTAGCCCATGCGCAGCCCAATACTAAGGGCCTCTACCAAATTTGATTTATTTATCTTTGATCCCTGTAATATACTTCCCAAAAAAAAAAGTTATTACATTGTAATAACTTTTTTTTTTTTTTTTTTTTTTTTGATAATCAAGGTGTCCAGGCCAGTTTGAATGTATTTTGAGCAATCAATTATACCTCAACTAATCTCTGGGATCCATTAAACACCCTACAAACCAAATGGGTCACATAAATTACAAATGTGATAGGTGGTCACTTTGTAGACCTGAACACAAAACTTTTAGATAACTCACTAAATGGCTAAAGTCTTATCATCCAACTAAAGGGTAGTGGTTCAATATTTTATCTTATGTTGTGAAGTTCATTTAGTCTCTTAAATTCATTTAGTTAAATAAGAGGACAGATTAATAAACTATAAGTTAACTTATAGAATAATCAAGTCATGAGGTGTTACAGAACGTGTGACCCAGTTTTGTTAGCAAATCTGTTTGAACTTCTTCAAGTAAATCAATAGAAGAGAAAACAACAGCAGTTTGTATTATACATGGCCTATAAATATTATGTTTTCACAATTAACTTTCACTTTTACAAATGACGAGCTCTTCTTCTTTTAAGGTTCCGGTAGTTTTGTTGCAGCTATTCTCATCATGTGGTGAATCTTTGTCCAAATTCAAGCAACTGATGATAGGTAGTTTCTTTTTGAGTTCACAACAAATAGTTTTTTTGGCATGAGAGGTGCAGGTACAAAGGCAGGAGAGAGAGGTAAATGCATGCTTAGTTCCTATTCTTCGTAATACGTTTAACTGCACAAAGGATGTATGCGTTGATCACTGCGTTAAGCTCCAAGGTGCAAGCACAAATGGGGTATGCTACGAAATGACAAGAACGTACATCGATGTAAAGGTTCTCTCCAGAGCACCAGATGTGAGTTTTCCATCTGTAAGACGATATCGAATAATATTTATCCATAAATAAAACAACCAGGCAACTAGCCTGCCTTTTGTGGTGGCTGTAAATCAGGAAAAAAAAAACTTTTCTTATTGTTGATATAAAAATCTGCACCAACCAAAAAATTTCGATTGACTCTACCGGAACTGAAATGGATATGTGCGTGATTACGGATAACCAGCAGTGAATGAATAATAAATATAATAAAGTAAATGGCAAAGAGATTTTTAAAGTGGTTCAGCAAGTTAGAACTTGAACCTACGTCCACTGTTATTTTATTGCTTTTGAGAGCTTATAAAGAACAAAATAATTCCTAGGAAAATTTGCTTAAAACAATTGTCCCGCCCTAGAAAACAAGTTGTGATGAGTTTATATAGCATTCATTTACATGATAGAGTTGAGATAAGATTCAAATATGTAGAATTAGGAAGTTGCATGATCTTCGGCTACCTTAGTTTGAGTCCAAGTCAATCTAAATATCTTCCTTCCAAATTGAGCAAATCAAAATATTTTCTCTCTTAATAGAGAATTATCATCTTCGGATTGACAGCACAACAATAGCTCCCTAGTTTTTGGAGTGCGTAATCACGCTTCAAAAACTCATGTCTTTGATCTGGATGGCTGTCACATTATAGGCTACAGTCTCGAATTGAAGAACTTGAGTTATGCCTAACTTGATCTAAGAGATCTTGAACACGTGATCTCAAGCGAATGAGCGAGCTTATGAGCTTAATCAATGAGCATAAAGAGCTCGGTCAGAGAGCATAAAATGCTTGATTTGAGAGTGCGAGGAGTTTAATTAGAAAGCACGGAGAGCTTGATCTGAGAGCATAGCTCGACCAAAAAGCATGAAGAGCTTGATCTGAGAGCATAGTTCGACCAGAAAGCATGGAAAGCTTGATCTGAGAGCATATCTAAATTAGAAAGCATGGAGAGCTTGATCTAAGAGCATAGCTCGATCAGAAAGCATGAAGAGCTTGATTTGAGAGCATAGCTCGATCAGAAAGCATGGAGAGTTTGATCTGAGAGCATTGCTCGATAAAAAAGCATAGAGAGCTTGATATAAAAGCATTGCTCGGTCAAAAAGCAAGGAGAGTTTGATCTGAGAGCATTGCTCGGTCAGAAAGCATGAAGAGCTTGATCTGAGAGCATTGCTCGGTCAAAAAGCATTAAGAGCTTGATCGGAGAGCATTGCTCGATCAAAAAGCATGGAGAGCTTGATATGAGAGCCTAGCTCGATCAGAAAGCATGGAGAGCTTGATCTGAGAGCAGAGCTCGATCAGAAAGCATGGAGAGCTTAATCTGAGAGCATTGCTCAATCAGAAAGCATGGAGAGCTTGATATGAGAGCATTGCTCGATCATAAAGCATGAATTGATCTGAGAGCATTGCTCGACCATAAAACATGGAGAACTTGATCTAAGAGCGTAGCTTGATCAGAAAGCATAGAGAGCTCGATCTAAGAGTATAGCTCGATCAGAAAGCATAAAGAGCTTGATCTGAGAGCATAACTCGATCAAAAAGCATGGAGAGCTCGATCTGAGAGTATAGCTTGATCAGAAAGCATGGAGAGCTCGATCTGAGAGCATAGCTCGATCTGAGAGCATAACTCGATCAAAAAGCATAGAGAGTTCGATTTGAGATAATAGCTCGATCAGAAAGTATAGAGAGCTCGATCAGAAAGCATGGAGATCTAGGTGTGCGATCTGAAGCTGACGATCTGGTTGCATGATCTGAAGCTAAAGATCTAGGTGCGCGATCTAAGAGATCTGGTTGTACGATCTGAAATATGTTTCAATATCTTGACAATAACTTGAGTTGCAGACCTCGGATTTGGATGATTCTTCAACCTTTGGAAAACTTACTCGAAGATCTACAACTCTTATGTTTACCACTTTGCTAGACTCATACTTTATAATGGTCAATACTCCCCATCTGTCAACGGCTTCGATTCTAGAGTTTGATTTGGTGACATGGATTGTAGCCATGGCTGATTTTTTTGCAGTTAGAAGATGAAAAGAAACTGCTGGAAAACAGAGAGAGCTCAAAGTGTTCAAGCCCCCCCTTCTAGTGCCAATGTTGATACAAAATCTGTACCAATCAGAGAATTCCGGTTGACCAGAACCGAAATGGATGTGTGCATGATTATGGATAACCAGCAGTGGATGAATAATAAATGTAATAAAGTAAATGACAAAAAGATTTTTAAAGTGGTTCGGTAAGTTAGAACTTGAGCATACATCCACTGTTATTTTATTGCTTTTGAGAGCTTACAAAGAACAAAAAAATTCATAGGAAAATATGCTTAGAACAATTGCCCCACCCAAGAAAACAAGTTGAGATGAGTTTATATAACACTCATGTACATGATAGAGTTAAAATAAGATTCAAATATATAGAATTAAGAAATTGCATGATCTATGGCTATCTTAGTTGGAGTCCAAGTCAATATGAATATCTTCCTTTCAAATTGAGCCAATCTAAATATCTTCACTCCTACTAGGGAATTATCCTCTCCGGATTGTCCGCACAACACTTATGGAGTAACTTTATAAGCTAGAAACAGTTAACAATAAGCGACAGTAGCATAATTATACATGCAGAGAAGGGATAACGAGGGTTTCAGCCACAAGAGAATTAGTAAGTGAGCTTAATGAATGTGTAAATAGCAGTGGCAATCAGAGCAAGAAGGATGACTGTAAAGCTCGCTCAAAACTAATCCCAAACGTGAACGGCAGAAACACTTGTATATTATCCATTATGTATGGCCATCTGAAAATGATAAAATGGCACAGCAATTCCAATAATTTTTTTGAAAGTATATATAAGAGAAGTTTATTACATGAAACTCCAGAATACAAGAGGAATTTGATAATAATGGCCCGAAAGCCAGAATCAGCTCACAAATCAATGGATGTTCACCCTGAATTATCTTCTTCCAGTTCTCCAGATAATCTATCTCCTGAAAACCCTGATCCCAATCACAATATCCTGATAGTAATTAAGAGTATTTGCCCTTACTAGTAACAAATTAAATGGCCAATTACTGTTTCAATCTACTAGCTACATATCATATTTAATGTATTTTCATCTAATTATCTCTCTAATTTACCTTATTACATATGTAATTGAGAGCCCAAAAAATTCAATACTTACTATGTAATAATACGACTGATTATATCTATACAAAATAGGGATCCCAATTTGAGTAATTTAATTATAGTTTAAAATTAATTTTGGATTCATTGTTCCATAAAAAATCCTATAATTAACGTGATATTGAAATATTACATAAATTAATTAAATATCTAATCCCTAGCCTATAAATATGAATCCATCATCACACCAAAGAGTCCAAAATTAAACCCATTTTAGAGACTTCATTTTTCATTCTCGAACATGACTAGAAGTTCTTTCAATTCCTTTCTGATATTCGCTGTGTTGTTTCTGGTTTTCACCTCATCATGCGGTAAATATCTGTCAATATTAATTAATTCCTTCCATTCACAGACTTTCTATTACAACTCGCTGTGTTATTTTGGTGTGAGCAGGTAGAGTCACGTTCGGACAGAAGAAGAACAAACCATGCTTGGTCCCTATTATTCGTTTTGCGTTTGAGTGCACAGAGGATGTATGCATTCAAAATTGCGTCAGGCTGCAAGGTCCAAATACAGATGGTGTATGCAGGGATCGATATGTTTGCTGTTGCTCCCGAAAGTGATACAAACTGTCGATATATAAAGACCATCTTCTGATCTGAGTTCTTATTCCATCAAATAATGTTTCTGTATTAATAAATCAACCAACCTTTATATCTACCTGCTGTAATCAAAATGTTATGGGCTAAATCAATTAATAGTGTTGTTTAATTAATTAAAACTTTTGTTAACTCTTATTATTCATGTGGTAATTTTCTTTTAAGTATACTAATTAAGTTAATTGTCCTTTGATTTTTGTGATTAATTAATTAATTAATACAACTTTTTTTATATAGCTAATAATATTATTTTTAAATCACTCTTGAGTGATCGGGTGAGACAATAAGAACTTTTGAATATATTATTTAAGAAATCCTAAATTTGATTTCTCTCTATTGCTAATAAGGTCACCACTTAGAGTTTAACCCATTGTTAATTTTAGAGTATGGGCCATGGTTAATTTCAGGTTAGGACCCGAATGATTAATCTAAGTGTAACCCTTGGTCAGCACAAGAAAAAAAAAAATATACATATACTATGTTTGGAAAGGCAGAAAAATGTGACAAGCCCATTCTCCAGCTCTCCAACTCCAAGTGTTCAAAATTTTCATGCGAGGATACATGCTATAGATTTTATGAAGCATAATAATTATAATAATAAATTTTGAGGTGTGTACAAAAAAATGTTTTCAACATATTGATAAATTATAAAAAAATATAATGGTTATAATAAAAAATTAAAAAAGAAATAAAACATTTTGACTTAGTAATTAACACATTCAAATGACAAAAAAAGTGAGGTAATTGGAAACGAAAGAGAATGAGCATTCTATTCACTCAAATGTTTTCTTCTCTCTTCGGCAGCAGAGAAGCTCGAATCCTCGTCCTTGGCCTCGACAATGCCGGCAAAACTACAATTCTCTGTAATTCTATCACTCTGTATATGCGTTGAGTTATTATTAGTATTATATTTTTTTAATTTTTATATGTGTTTCTATGTTTGGTTTGATACAGATCGGCTTCAAATGGGCGAGGTAGTCTCAAAAATTCCAAGTAGGTTTGGGAAAATCTATAAATGCTTTAATTTCATTACGTAATTTTGTATGAATGGTCGTGTTTATTGCTGCTCATTTTATGCAAATTTTGGTTTTGTTTGGATGTAGCAATTGGATTTAACGTAGAAATTGTAAAGTATAAAAACATCAAATTTCAAGTTTGGGATTTAGGTAAGTGTTCATCATTTTATTTTTGTGCAATTAAATTACTAATATAGTTGGAATGAATTTTTTTCTATTTAGTGTTTGCATGAATTATTAAACTGGGCTCTCTCTGAATTTTTTGTTAGCAATCATTTGCTAATTGCAACAACTATTATATAAATGGATACTAGAGTGTGTTCTTTTTGTTTAAATGTGATTGATTAATTCTTTTCTTGGACCATTGTTCAGTTTAACACTAACATGATTTGTTTTCTTTTGTTGGGTTGTAAGTTTACGGAAACTGTTTGATTATCATATTTCAGTTGTTAATTTTTCTCTCAGTTGGACTTTTGGTTTGTTGCAACAGGTGGGCTGACCAGTATCAGGTAACTTTGTTGCTTCATTCAATTTCTTTGAAGTGATTTTTATATATGCTGTATTTGCATTTTACATCTTTAGAAATATATTGGCTGACGATGTGAACACATCAACTCTGGGAATTGCTAATCATGCTTTTTCTCAAAATGTCATGCAGTTGATGTGACATTGAAGCAGAAAGCTTCTTTAATTATGAACTACACCATGAGATGCTAATGAACACTAATGTTGTCTTTTGGCATTGGTGCCAGGACTTATTATTATCATTACAGTTAGCTTGAGGAATTCGAAACATGATTATTCTAGATGAGTAACAATTTTAGCTTGTTATATAAATAGAGTTCTTAGAGATGTCTAATATAAGCTGGTACAAGAGTTAAGTTGCTGTTACGGCATTTGCTACTATCAAAACATATTCTGTGTGTGGTCACCATAGTTATTGTGTATTTTCTACAGATATTATGTTGATATTGACAAGTATGATCTTGTTATGTATTTTCTACTCTCTTTGGTTATTGTGTATTGATTGATGGTGTTCTATTCATTATTGTTCTTTCTCCATTTGTGTCACCATCCTCTAGGAGTTGTGTATGTGTTGTCCACTGATGATGTACATTTGTTGCTTGCTTACTAGTGATTTGGCATGCAATTAAAGGGCATGTAACTCCAAAGAGCTACCCCTCATGTTTCTTGGGTTGAATTTTTGTTTGCTGTATTGTTTGTCTTGCAGGCCATATTGGAGATGCTATTTCCCAAATACTCATGCGGTGATTTATGTTGTTGATTCGAGTGATACTGATAGAATTCTAATTGCCAAAGAGGAATTTCATTCAATTTTGGAGGTATTATCGTAGAAAATACATGATTATGAAGTATATTATCATGCATTAGTTGTATTAGGTTTGGTATGAATATGTTCATATATCTCATAATTGCATGTGATTGAAATGTGACTGTCTTTTTTGTAAGCTTAATGGGCTGTCGGATGGCTGATTAATGTCTTCTAACTGTTGAGTAGGAGACGGAAAGGTGCCGCTGCCCTCATTTTTGCAAATAAGCAGGTCACAAATTTTCTCCTCCATTCTTAATGATATATTTTGAATGTCTTATGTTCTGTTGGTTGTATCAGTTATGGTCAGAGATTGGTTTGTGAGGCTAGCTGACCTAAACAGGTCTTTCCATTCTCCAGACATAGTGAAGGGGGAAGTGCCAAGTTCAGTTTGCTCATGGTTGTAATATTCTGCCGACAGGATTCTCAACATTGTTTTTTGTAATTTTCTTAAGGTTAAAAGCATATTTGACATGAATAGGATCTCCCTGATGCACTTGATGCTGCTGCTGTGAGCGAGGCTTTGGAGTTGCCCAAAATGAAAAATTGCCAGTGGGCCATCTTTAAAACTTGTGCTGTCAAGGGTGAAGGGCTATTTGAGGGCTTGGAGTGGTAAGCAGTTTTCTATTGACTGTTGCAATTACTGGCATTTGCATTAATGACTGAATTCATTTTATAAAATGACTTCACTAGTGTTGCTAGATCTTTGTAGTTTGTCCTTGTCAAATGCTTAAGTTACTCTCTTGTTCATTTAAGTTGCTTCCTCGATTTCATAGGAACTACTGCTCTACCGTTACATTGATGTCTACAGAATTTCATGCATTTATTCCTTTTTGTTTGATTCTGGTATGATTCATTCTTGGAGTAGTCGTGAATGTGTTTGGTTTTGGATATAATTGATGTATTAAAAGTAGAGAAACCTGCCTGCTTTCCCACAATTTTTCAATTCTGCAAATTGAGTTAGTTGATTGCCTATGGTATTTAATTAGTTTAACAAATGATTGATAATAACTAAAATTGCAGGTTGAGTAATACTCTCAAGTCAGTAAATGGGTAGTGATGATCAAGGAAATTTTCTTAGCAATTTTACTGATAAGTGGTATTAGCATTGCCTGGTATTCTTGGCACCGATATCTTTGCTATTTATTTCATTTATTTAAAATTTTGCCGTCCTATATTAATTGTATTTCTCGGAAGTATAATACTACTCATACAACATTTTTATATAACATTTTCCATACAACTTGATGTGGCAAAATATGGTTGGTTGATTTTAAATTAAAAATAAACTTTTATTCAATCATCTTTTGTCACATTAGATTGTATGAGAAATGTTGTACAAAAATGATGTATGTGTAGTATTACTCTTCTCGAAAACTATAGCGGAAAGGTGCTGACTGACCACAGCCATTTAGATGTAATTTTCGAAATGAAAAGTGAGAAATATGCATATTCTATTCTTATTTTTCCCTTTTTTAAGACGTTATGGGCTAGAGTAGGATAGTGTTGATGAGCATTGCTCTGCATAGTATTGTAGCAGTTTGTCATCTTCCAGTTATAATATAACCAACTAATATTCTTTTTTCCTTGCAAGAATTAAATTATTTGAATAGAGTCAATACTGCATTCGGCCACGTATAAATGCGTAATGGGATTTTAAGACCCTTGGCGTAAATGTAATCGTGTGGGGCTATCGCACTCAAGCCTAAGCCCAAGAGGCCATAACTTAAAAAAGATAAGAGAATACGCAAGTACTGTTGGTGCCAACCCTTTCACATTGCACCATCCAACTTCAACAGATCATATTGTGGTATGCTCATCTTATCTTTTCTAAAGATAGAAACGGATTTAAGATAGGTCACTGTTATAAGTTATAACATATGGTTGGGTTTTGGTCAAACGTCCTTGACCAATCTTCCTTTTATTTTTATGTTTTTTATTAAGAGCGTTGTGACTAATTTGTGTGTATCTCAAACAATCTCTTAAAGTTTTGAAGTTAATGATTAGATAAATCTTCCAATCTTATTAACTAATCTCTCGGTTCTTTGAAATTAACAATTGAATAAACCTTTCATAGGTTAGCCTTATTAAAAATCGAAACTTTGAAGTTAACAATTAGATAAACCTTTCAATGGTCATCCTTATTAAAAATCGAAAAGAATCGAATTCAAGATCTCTTAAATAATACATTCAAAAGTCTTTTTCATTCTATGTATCTAATAATCTAATGATGGTTTTAACCAACCTTTCTTGAGACAACTTATTGAGGCCCAAACATCAAGCAATTGTAACGATAAACTCCTGAATATTGATGATCAAAAATCAAAATCAAAGCAGAAACACCGATAGGGACGTCTTACTACAGAGAGGCGCAACGCATGGATGATGGATCATCTCGTCCGTCTACGTTACATAAGTTATCCATAAATCTAGCCGTGACCACCAACACTCTACAGGTCCATCTCGAACGCCAACTTGGCAAACCCACTGGGTCCCAACGGTCCCACCGACCCCCGCTGCCCATCTCAGTACTAAAACACCTTAACCATAATTACAACCACACCCTCAACGTGGTCCCCACCTCCAACATTGACTGTTGACAACTCCCCATATTAAACTCACCAAATTTTTTCAATAAAATCCATTTTTTCGGCTAAGCCTGATCCACGTGTCTCTCATCCATTGGTGGATCTCCAGATCTCCCTGGTCCCACTAGATAGACCCATACATGGACACAACTGTTAACAACAGCTAGCCAAGTACACACAAAGACGCAGAGGGGACTGTATTCTCGTGATAGTGTGTTGTAATAATAATAGAGGGGCGACCCACAGCAGACTCTCTACCTTTTAACTAAACTGTGACTCACTGAGTTGAAATGGCATCCAAGCTCTGTGACTCCTGCAAATCCGCCACGGCCACTCTGTTCTGCCGGGCGGACTCCGCTTTTTTATGTGTCAACTGCGACACCAAAATCCACGCGGCCAACAAGCTCGCGTCTCGCCACGCGCGAGTCCGGGTGTGCGAGGTCTGTGAACATGCACCAGCGCACGTCACATGCAAGGCTGACGCCGCTGCCCTCTGTGACACGTGCGACCGCGACATACACTCGGCTAATCCCCTGGCTCGTCGCCATGAGCGTGTACCAGTCACTCCCTTCTACGACTCCGTGAACTCCGCCGTCAAACATAACGGCGTCGTCAACTTCATGGACGACGATCGTTACTTTGATGACGTGGAGGGAGGCGATGTCAGCAGGGAGGAGGCTGAAGCAGCTTCCTGGTTGTTGCCAAACCCGAAGGTGGTTGAGGATGGCCCTGAAATGAACACTGGCCAGTATGCGTTCTCGGATATGGATCCGTATCTGGATCTGGAATTTGGGCCTGTGGATCCGAAACTTGAGGCCCAAGAACAGAACAGTTCAGGTACTGATGGAGTTGTCCCTGTGCAAAGCAAAAACGTTCATGCTCCTTTGGTTAACGACCACTGCTTTGACCTGGATTTTTCCGGCTCCAAATCTTTTGGCTACGGATACAACACTCAGTGTCTCAGTCACAGTGTAAGCTTTTTTTTTTTAATATAATTTTTTATTACAAATTTGACATGTTTATTTTAAAAAAACAAAGAAATGAAAAGTGACGGTGACGGTGTGGTTTGGGATGCAGGTATCATCGTCATCACTGGACGTTGGAGTGGTGCCAGATGGTAGTGCGATGACGGACATATCGAATCCGTACAGCAGAGGAACGGAGTCAACAAATCAGACGGTTCAGCTTTCATCAGCAGACAGGGAGGCACGTGTGTTGAGGTACAGAGAGAAGAGAAAGAATCGGAAGTTTGAGAAGACGATACGGTACGCATCAAGAAAAGCGTACGCGGAGATGAGGCCAAGAATCAAAGGAAGGTTCGCGAAGCGTATAGACACGGAAGTCGAAGTTGATCGTAGTAGCAACAGTAGTATGTACGGATTCGGCGTCGTTCCGTCCTACTAATTTAAAGTGAATTTTGTAATAAATCCATGTTTTAATTTTAATTTTATTTTTGGTTTTATGTATATAAAGTAGTTGAGATGTTTGATCGATGGAGTGTGGACCGTCGATTTGGTAGTAATGGAGTTTTTGCTTTGTAATGAACTTTTAATTTAATGTACTGGGCTGAGAAAGCTCTTCTCTTTGATTAACAATATTTTAATAGCTTAAGAATCAGAATCTGAGAGCTAATTGGTGACGGTAATACGGTTAATTATATATTAATTGTATAAGTAAAGTGATTTGACGATTGGTGATATTGAAAATGACCTGAGTTGGGTGTTTGGTAAACGGTAGAAAATGGGGAATGGTGAATTAAAAGAGTTAGATTGCGTTGTGAGATGTGTGATGGTGATGCCAAATTGGGTAAGAGTTTTATTGGAAGTTTTGTGCTGGGCTTTTCAGAATTTTAGGTCAGGATGAGATTTCATTTACAGACATGGAAAGCAGAAAGGGGGTTGATGATTGATCCTCTGAAAAGGAAAGAAGATGACAAATTGAACTGTGCAAACAAGCTTACGCAACATGATTTTATTTTGCCGATGACAGCAGTGAAAGACGGGAAGAAATCTGAAGTCCATCCAAAGACATTGAGCTCTAAACAGTTCTGTTTAAAGAGCAATCATGTTGCAAAAGTGGAATAACAGATGAACACTTGAAAAAAATGGGTAACGGATCAGAGTTTCAGGCAACAAAATTAAATTTTGGATTCCTCCGCTTTTTCAAATGGTAACAATTTATGCCGACGGTCAAGAGTCGGACATCATAAATAGCTTTGGCATAGTGTAAAATTTGTGAAACTTTTGCTTGTCTCCTTCCCTTTTCAGCTTTTGTGAGTAGGTATTTTGTTGGTTAAAATAAAATTATTCCAAAGCTTGACAATCAAGGCAAAGGCCAAGGCTTCCAGAGATTCTTGGCAACCAAGTACGTTTACTCAATTAAATAGTATTTGGTTACTTAAAATAAAATTATTCCAAACCTTGGCAATCAAGGCAAAGGTCAAGGCTTCCAGGGATTCTTGGTACCCAAGTACGTTTACTCAATTAAATAAACTAAAGAAAGCAACGGGTAAATATATAATGTTAATGCATGTCAATTTTTCCAGCCAATTACAATTAAATAAACTGAAAAGAGTCTCCATTCATCAGTATATAAGTTTATGCAATACCCACCACTTCATATTGCACAGAGGCAACTCCCTCCCTCCCTCTCTCTCTCTCTTTGAATGGGTGTGTTTCTTCTAAAATGGAGATTGGATAAAAAAATAACTTAAAAAAGAAGCATAATGATGAGAATATTTTGGTTCGCTTGTCGTTCGTAATGGCAGAATTGCCTTGACGAGACAATACTGTTTCATACTCCGAGTGCTCTCTCTTCCTTTACTTTTTGCTGTATGTTTCTTCATGTTTGCATGCAGGTTTTAAGCAAATATGACCTTCGGTTTTTTATTATTATTATTATCATCACAGTGTTTGGGTAACGTATATCTCCACTAATCTTTGGGTCTATTGAACACCTTACAAAGGTAATGAGCCAAGTAAGTTACAAGACCTTCAGAATTCAGATAACCCAGGTAAAATCTTACTATCTGACCACAATCTAACCATTTTGATCTTTGTTTAGGGTGTGATTGTGATATTCATCCTTGTCTGTTTTGCTTTGAGAAAGACACATCGGAACGTCATAAGATGGTCAGGCCATCATGTTCAAGTCAGGTAACCAAAACCAAACCATTTTCCCAATGATTTTGTATTTTGAAATTATGGTCTCATAGCTTAACAACATCGATCTTTGTTCATCTAAACAATGAAAAGAGTTTAAAGTCGTAGCTTTCAATATTATTGGTAAATATAATATTTTGAAGTAAGCTGCGGGGTTGCCTTTGCTTCACATTTCAAACAGAAAGCCAATGGCACAGAAAGAGATCTCAAACATCACATCAATGGTGATGCCCAGGTTTTAATTTTTAAACAGTCAATCAAACCTCAAAGAAGAAAGCCTAATTGCAAATTAGAAACGTAAGCAATAAGAGCAAGAAAAAAGAGGCTTCAACTACATTTACAACATGGGAAATTAAAACTTCACTCTTAAGACTCTTTACACATTCATACATACACATTTCTAGCTACATACATTCATGAACCAAAAACAGATGCTAAACTGAGGTACATCTATTTTAGAGACTGATAATATGTAATACACATCACCAGCCCCGCAAGTTTGTTTGCGTTTCTAAAACTTACACGGTACGGTACGAGAACTGTAGTTTTTCTATGACCAACTGTAGACTACCAAGCATTTATTGCACCCAGGTAGAGAAGAAACAAAGTCCAGCAGTAGCTGGGAAACGGCGTTTATGCAGAGCCGCCAAGAGATGAACCATCTTGATTGGCAAAGAAGCGAACAACAACACAAGTAATATTATCTGCGCTGCCTCTCTGATATGCCTCGAGCATCAACCTCTTTGCCGCCTCCTCTGGATCCTGGATTGGTTTAATCATTGCAACAGCTTCCTGAGAAAACCATAAGAGCAGAAGATCAAAGTTAGAAGCAAGAAATATATCTATCATTTAAATTGTCTTGAAAGTCAAATGGATTGTGTACTACTGTTTCACAATAAAAGCATAAAATCCTAAAACAAGTTCAAAGACAATGCATGTCAATATGAATCAAACTAGTCGAGAAAACAAACTCTACCAAATTAAGGGTCATCAAAGAGGGAAAATGAGATTATATTAAAAAGAAAAAGAATTATTGCAAACCTCATTCGTGACAACATCCCACAGTCCATCGCTAGCAAGGATAAGAAACTCAAGAGAACTGTCAATCTTTTCCTCCTGAAATTTTCAGAGATGTCAGTAGCTAAATATGTGCAAACAAAACATAGGAGGAGACAGATAAAGAAAAAATAAGAGCAGTCAGCAAAGTGACGTTTCAAACACAAAAACCAGGTCTAAAATCATGACTTGAGCAAAAAATTTTTTTGGGTCAGATTGTAAGATTATTCTTCAAATTAAGGATCTAGAAACCAAAGATACTCCGGCAATGTTCAAATTAATTTTCTGCATTTCAGGATCCTGTCTAGAGTCTTCAACCACTTTCCCCATCCTTGAAGAACTTAAGATATAAAATCCAGAGACATTAAAAGTAACAATGACAGTTTTATACATTCAGTAAATATTAATTTAAATGCTTATTTAATAAATAGTCAAAAACTCGACCAGTTCCATCTTCTGGTTCATATATCAGCTAATTAGTAACCAGACCTGAATTTCAGGATCAGCAACAACATACTGCTTCAAAAGCCTATCACCAAATGCACGAGAAACTGCAAGAACACCTCCCACTCTCCAAGTTCCTGTTCACATAATTTCAGTCATAAATACCAAAAGTTTAGGTACTTAGCGGGTGGAGAGGAGGGAAGTGGGGTCAGAAAACATAACGATTCTTAGTTAAATGTACTTACCAGCCCACATCACAAATCCACCTGCATCCTCAATCCGTTGCCGTTCATCAGATTGGTCTGGCTTGTGATCTCGAGATACAGCAATAGCTGCAGAAAATCACAATTTTCGCAGAAGTAAATAATGTAGTAATTGAACACTGTAGCAAAATGGCTATCAAACAATTCTCCACCAAAATTATGAAACAGCACAAAGTTCGACTTTATTGTTGTTATAATTACATAAACAACCATAAAGTAGCCAAATAACTAATCAATTGCAACAAGATATTCACACTCTAGTGACAAGAGACTAATCGCAATCAATGCACAGTGATTATATATATATATATATATATATCAAACCCAGGGGAAGCTGAAGCTCATGGCTTGCATTTTGATTTCTAGAGGGAGAGGTGGGTCCACAAAAGTTTTGTAGGTTTGAGAAAGGTAGGTCGTGAAAGAAGATTCTTTTTCCATATAAAAATTGAAATTATTAACTACTGAACTTATTCATCACATGATAATAAATCTACATATGTAGACATGTTGCTGTGTGTATATATAGGTATGTATTCACTTGCATACATACATTATTCTACATGCATAGATACATATGATGCCTATAAGAAAAAAACATAATAAAGGCTAGCACATAGGACTCACAACTTATTTAAAAAAATTACACAATGAGAAAGATAGACCATCAAAACAACACTTAAAACAAATCTGGAAGGAACTCTCACTTTGAAACCCAAGCTCGTGATAGTGACACGATGAATCAGAAAGATTTAAGCTTCTTCAGAAAAGCAAAAGGACCAACACAAATCAAAGTTTCAGTGTCTTACCATTACCACCTCTGCATATAACAGCTCTGGAATCTCCGACATTTGCAACGAGTAAACGATCACCAACAAGGATGGCTGTGGAAGCAGTTGATCCAGCATCCCTATTCTGATTATTTTCTGATTTCAGAAATTCTGAGTCTGTGCGGGTGTATGCGTCAGCTGCAGGGATGGAACAATTTTAGAAAAACAAGAATTCAGTTTGATGAATAACCAAGTAATGTCATATAAATACATGAAGAGTACGAAGTTACTAACCTATAGCTGATTTGGTGTCAGAGATAAACTTTGGGTCCTGGATCAGATTACTGAAAAGGTTTTGCTTCACATACTCAGCAGCTCGTGCACCCCCATGACCTGGAACAACCATTTGGAGCATTACAAATTTTTCAAAACCAGATTATTGAAAAACATGAAGGAGAAATAATGTGAGAAATATATACAAATAGCCATTATCACATGGCTTTCCACTTTTACAAGGCCGTGGCAAGGCATGAGACACCAAGCAATAAAAATTAATCCTAGAGTAGAAACCACCTTGGCATTCAATCTACAATTTACCAATATTGAATCCCTCATTCCAAGCCAAAAACAGACCTCGAGGATGGCTTCAAGTACTGCAACTACATTGTAGCAAATACCCAATACAAGAATCTGCATAAAATCCCTTCAGCCAAACCTCTCCAATAGAAATTAAAACATCTAGATGGAAAAAGATAACTGACCTTATCCTCAGTACAAAAGAAAGGATGAAAACAAGAAGTTAACAAAACTAGAACTAGAAAATACTTGTATATAATTGCAATACAAAACTCAAAGATCAATATAATCTTCATCTCATGCCAAAAATTAGAGGAGATTTACCTCCAGCTGATTAGTGACGATTGACCGTTAATATTCAATAAGACAACAAACTTTTGTGCACTTTACACTTGATGTAAACTAGTTTCATAACTCTCAATTGTAAGGGCATATTACACTAGAAAAAGTAATTTTATCATATTATGACACCAACGCCTTTGATAGTACTACCAGTTAAAAAAGAGGGAGAGAGAGAGTACCATCAAAAACTCCAAAGAGACCAACTATCTCTCCTTCAACACCATCAATTCTTGTTTCATAAAAGTCTTCCATTGAAGACCTTTTCCCTGGAGAACTTGCATATCCATAGCTGAACTTTCCATTTTGACTGTAGTCATAAAAACATGCCACATTAAGGGTCAGTAACATATTGTGCCCTATAACTCTCAGATAACATTGCCCAATATTTTGAGTTCCTTCGCATATTTCATAGCAGTTTCAAGATAAACCAACTGAAGAATTCTCTAATTTTCATCTTGAGCCAAGCTCAAGTCGGGTAGTGTTTGACTGAGTTATATTTGCTCAATTGAAAGAAAATACAACCCTAGGTAAAGCAGAATTACATCATGATAAACTATAAAGAAAATCTTACAGCTAATGTGATTATGGTATACAGTCTCAAAAGGAATTTTGGCCTTCAAAATGAAAAGAAGGTTTCATGTTATACAAACAATTTTACATTACAATTTTATTTTCACTTATGGAAGTCCAGCAATCTGCAAGAGCCAAACATCACTAAGAAACAGTTGGAGTTTTATACAGTAATTTTACAGTCACAAACAAAATGACCATTTATTATACTTTTTATAAGCGAAAAATATGTAGGTAACTTTCAGACAACAAATTTTCATCAGTCAAAAATCATGTCCAAAAATTTAATGAAACATCTAGTTTTCAAAGCCACATGTCCGATCATACGCCAGTACCATGGCTTTCTTAGCTAGAATGTTCAACACAACCGAAAAGTTCAAAAACTGCTTGTTGGATATATAAAGTCAGAAATACAACAAGCTAAAAACTAATATTTTGTTTAACACAGCATGACGTGTTCCTATTTAGAGCGCGACATACTAGTGTTCCACAACAAAATGGAATTAAGCAAAACCAAGAAAATAGGGAACAAAGGGTGACTTTCAAACGCCCAACACGACAAAATGCAATTTGAACACGGGTTTCTCTTATGTCAAATATCAACAAATTGCAAAAAGGAACAGCAAAATGATGTAACATGAGAAGCGTCAGCAAAATGGACAAAAGGAACAGAAAATCAAGAGACCATACGTCAAACCTTTCCAAATTCATGGAGCTTCAAACAGCAATAATTTGCAACCGACAAAATTCCCAAAAAAAGTCAACAAATAAAATCCTGACAATTCCCACAATGAACTTCCCCTCATGCTGTTTCCCTCTAGTTTCATTAGGTTTCTAATGTTTGCTCCTTAATCAAGAGCACAAGCTATAAAACCCCATAAAACCGAGATCTATTCCATGGTTCAGCTAAAACGTAAAGTATATTTTAACAAAATGAACATATAACCCCTGAATTAAACAGGAGTCTGTAAAGGTATAATATACAGCATATAATTAGTAATAAGCAAGACATCAACATTCATAATTCACAATAAATGCATGAAATTTGACACACCATCACAGGTAATTAACATGCAAAGCCAAATCATACCATTTGCAGGACATTAACAAATATAGCAAGTAATCAACAAATAAGCCAATCAAATCAATTTGTAGATCTAATCAAAGATCAGAAATAAACCTAAAGCCGCCGCCGGTAACAGGCGCATCATCAGCATGAACTTGAGCCTGGCTCGAAGACGACAAGACTGAGTTAAGATAGCCCATGTTTTTTGCTCACAATTTCAGTTTGACCGCACTCTTTGATGAAAATTAAGAAAATAATATTAAAAGTAAAATTAACGACAGTGTTTGTTATTAGTCTTTAAAGCTGATTGTATTTGTACATTCGTCAGATCATTTCAAAGTTCACGAATTATCAAGCTGAACCTGCACGTTAACAAAATCAACCAAAAATTAAAACGAAATACACAGATCCTTTGATTTTAATCACGTGTTACAAAATTTTATATCCAAATTTAATCAAACACATTCAGAAAAAATCAGCTAATTAAAGCAAAATATGATAAAACAAAATTGGTAGTGACATAAATGATTACTAGTAAATTGAGAGAGAGTACCTGAAGAAGATAAGAGAAAGGAAATGCCATAACAGTGAGAAAGAATATTAGAGATAGAGAGAGCTAAATAAAAAGGCGTTAAAAGGAAAGAGAGAGAGAAATCAATTCTGTTTCATGTTGGTTTCAGTTTTGGTTTGTTGTGGATTGAAGACGCAAGCACAACAAAAATCAAATAAAAATAATTTTTCTTTTTGAAAAAAAAATTGGAATTGAGGTTTTGGTTTTGCCTTAAAGAGAAACAAAGTAGGTTAGTTGCTTCATGCTAAAAATGGGGGAGAGGTGGTAGTAATACGGGTCGCTGTAGCGCAATTCAAGTTTACGATAGGACTGAGTCAATGCCAAAACGAAAACAGCGAATCGTCTTTATGCGGTGGTTGTATCTGACACGTGGCACACATGCAGAAGAGTTGTAGCGTCATTCGGTTTAATTGTGATGTACAAAGTCAATTTCCCCTCTGCAATTAACAGTTAATCCGAATCTGATCAAAGGGGAACTAACAAAATATTGACTTTCAAATAATTTAAATTTAATTTAAGTAATCCTAATTTTTGGTTAATGGGATGACAAGTGTTGACTGAGTAATTAATTAGGTATTTAAACAAATGGATTATAGTAATTACATATTTGGTAGGCTTATATCATCGCTAATCGATAAATCTAAATCAGTCCAAATCAAATAAGGCCAAAGATTAAAAAAGAAGAATAATATGAATCACCAATTGGCCAAATCATTGAGTGCACTCTTACCATCGTTGCTTGTCTCCACAAATGTAACTAAGAATGATTAAATTACAGATGTTGCCAGATCTTGCTAATTGAACTCACTATTCAAGCTTCTTTTTTTGCACCCTTTTCCTTTCCATCATGGGCAATGTAGTGTGTCAATAAGACATGCCATATGGCAATAAAGCTGATTCATTTTTTTTAATCAATATTTTCATGACTACCACGTGGCACCCATATCAAGTTCAATTTATTACATTTGACTGGTCAAGACATTTTTCTCTTGTTTAATTTTCCACAATTAATTCTCTACCAGACTCAATTCCTGAGTTTTAGTTTAGTTTATTGTAGAAGTTCGATGTTTCACTTATTTTTTGCTTTTTACAATTGAGTGTGTATTCAGGTTCGTTGCCCAAGCCAGGGAAAATAATAAACTATTAAGCAAACCAGACAAAATAGGTTACGAAAGAACTTGTTAAAAGCATATTAATGACTGTAAAGGTGGCACATGGCCCCCGAGAAAAAAGGCTTATAAATTGCTAGAGCTATGGTTTTTCACCACCTTGTGAAGCAGTCTTGATAGAGAGAGCCACAAAGTCTCTGGAAATTTGTGGCTTAAATGCGTTAGTAACGCAGAAATGATGTCTATATTGAATTTATACACCTCTGGCTTCAACGCCATGCGGATGAACATTGCTGTCCACACCTCTGGAGCCAATTCTACCGAGCGCCAGAGAGATTGAAACCCATTAACCACCCTTGTGACCATTGCCTGCCCCTGCAAGATATGAAAATACAGCATCTATAACATTTCTACAAATTCAGTACCTACTTTCTGAGTCTTCAACATAGTCTCTGTTTAAATAAGGACCACAAAGATAATTAGGCAGGGGGACTGTAAATGAAATTAATAAGATGAAATTATTCAAACCTCAGGCCGCTGAGTATTCCTTGCTTTAGTTTTCTCATCCAAAATGCAACCAAAAACTTCCACCTGCAAAAAAGCATCAGCTGCACTAAGAATATCCCGGAGCAGGAACACCCGTACCCTCTGACCCTTTTCAGATAAAATAAATAGTAAAAGATCTTCAGTGGCAGAAACAACAGCACGCATGTCAAATGATTTCCATTCCAACGGACTTGAAATATTATCTTCAGAATCACCAGATGACTCAGATGCTTGTTCAGATATTGCAGATATCTGAAAGAAGATGGATTCATTTCAAATGTTATCTGAAATAGCTAGCACGTACTGGTCCAGTGTAAAGTGAACTGGTCTCCACATAATTAAAATTTTAAAAAGGAAAAAAATAAAGAGGAAAGATGACCTACCAGACGCTCTAGTCGATTCCATCTAATCGAACCATTATTACGGATGAGAAGTTCCCGTAAAATTCTTCTCATATCAGGATTTGGGTCAGCCAAAAGCCTTCCTATGACAAAAGGGTATGCACTCTCAACAACTTTAAAATCAGGATCTAGAACTTTAGCTGTGCCCTCTAGTGAACCAAGAGCTCTTATCACCAGGGCATAGTCAGGGGGAAGAGACAAATTAAATTCGTACATAACATCATATAGTTGCTCCATTATTCCCTGAATTCCAAACAAAAAAATTAGGAGCGTCATTATTTACTTCAAGAATTTACAGAACCTTCACATTCACTTTTCAGTATTAAAGCATCAGTAAGATACTGATTGTAAATGTACCGACAACCATAATAAGGCTCAGGCTGAAAAACTCATTTGTTGGAGTGAAGATGCATCCAAATAGTATTGATCATAAAACTCAAGCCAGTGGGTGATCCGGTAAACATACACACCTTTTTTTAAAGCATAAAAATAAGATGATAGAACAAAACTGTGCACAACATATGGATTGACATTACTAATTATTGAAGAAAATATATTTCCACATTTGAATTGGCAATGTTAGAAGCAAAAAGAATTTTAAACTTGAAAAAAAAAAAAAAATGAAGTTAAACACCAAGTGGCAGTACAGCTTTATCACATACTTCTATCATTTATAATAAATACAGATTATTCCTGATTCTGCAGAGTGTAACAATAGAGATGGATCCTTTGATGTGCTTAAAACTCCTATGCTGATTTTATTCATATAGAGAAAACTGGGGTGACTTGTACAACCCCTTTACAATTCAAAATAAAAAGGGACAGAAACTACAAGAACAAACCTGAAAATCATTAGATTGCCGAGTTCCACCACCAAAAGATGCACGCAATGCCTCTGCAACAGATTGTATATCAACCTCTTCAGGAATAAATCCCAAAGAAAGAAAGTCATTTGCCAAACCCAGGGAGTCACGATTAACAAAGTGCACCAGCTGAAAGAGACAGAATCAACACATACATGATCTCAGGGCCTCTGGCAATGAATAGCACAGCACAACTACATCCAGCATCATCATATAGAGAAGAAAGCATTTCAATAATGAGAACTACTGACAATACTGCAGACGTCCAATTTTAATGGCAGAGAACTTGAAAAGAAAACCAAAACAAAAGGAAAACAATAACATTGTTTGCATTTCCAAAGGAATTAGATACTGGAAAAGGGAGACTGCATACATTTAGGATCCATTCAATGCATTTATATCATATCATGTCATAGAACGTGCAGTATATTTGCATATTACAATAAGATATCTTGAAAATGAAAATAAAAATAAAAATTAAATACACAACAAAAATTCATTTGACAGAACTTCCATGGTAGATTCTCATTCAAACATGCCTTACAACTTGAATAAGCCCACTCGATAATGACGAGGAATATCACCCATCATTCCAAAGTCAAAATAGGCAATGGATCCTCATCAATGGCAACAAGATTTCCGGATGAGGATCAGCATGGAAAAATCCTACCTCAAGCAACTGTCTAAAGAGCGTATAATCCCTATGAAGCCAAATAAAAAAAATATTAAATTAGGTTACGTCACATGTACTTGAGTTGAGACCATGCACAATATTAAACTCACCGAAAGTATTTAAAGTGCACACCAAGAGAAAATACACACACACATGAATTTTGTAAAAGCTAATGAGGGAGCTTATTATGTTTTACCTGGTCGATTAGTTTCCTCCTGTCTAAAGTGGCCCTCCTCAGGCCCCTCTCATCTGTAAGCTTAATTCCATCTATCCATTCATTGTAAGAACAGCTTTCGTGTAAGCTCCCAGTGTATCTTTGGTACTTTAACACAGTTCCCTTTCTTGGATTTAAAAGCATTTGGACCAGAAGCTTTTCTATCTCTCTTTTGTTCATTACCTGTCAACCATAAGGAGCAATTTATAAACCTTACCTCCACGCTTTACGGAGAGTGTATGGAAACAAAACTTAACAGTTTCAGACATGCAAAGTGGGAAGGGTGTATCACCCAGAAAAATAAAAGTAGGCTGAAGAAAAGTGTCAATCACCCAGAACCCCATCCAAAACAATGATTTCTGAGAAAAACAGCAGCCCAACACTTGATATAACTTTAAAAAGGGGAAAAAGTTTTGTGGTTCAAAAATGGCATACGTCTTCAGTAATACAATCCCAAGTGCATATTTATCTTGGCAACTTTTCCTTAACCATTAAAATTTAAAAAAAAAAAAAAAAAAAAAAAAAAAAAAAAGAGGAAGGAGAAGAATTAGCCTCTCAAATACAATACAAGATAAGCCGCTTTCAAGATATCTATCAGCTTTCTGAACATGGCATACAGGTAAAAATGTTTTGAGATGGGCTGAACAAGAGATGCTTAGTCAATTAAGAAGCCTAACATAAATTTCAAAAGTTTCAAATTATATACTATGATTTCAGTCAACCATGCAGCCTCATGTAAATGGCAGAAGTGTTAAATATAAACCATGACTTCAGTATCCACATAGGATTCTAACTCACAGCGGAAAATATATCAAATCAAAACTCATGCAAACTACAAAAAAAAATGCAGCAACTACAACAGGTGGAAGAACTTACATGGGTAGCAACCATAAAGAGAAGCAAAACGTTCAGCATTTTTCCCTTCTTGTATGTAATCAATTTCATCAAACATGTGCCTTACCTGTGCATTCAAGAGAGACCTGAAGATGTCCATAAGGATGCACATCACATTAAAGAAAATGTAATGGAAAGCTAGAGAAACCAATATGAAAAAGAACAGTTATAGATCATATGACCCAATATTTCTCCAGATATCTATAACCTTATTTAGTTCTAAGTTTCTAATAGAGATACATGGGACACATGAACTATCATACAATAATAAAGACGATGTCAGATCTATAGACCCTCGTCTGGGTCACTAATAATTCATTTTAATCCATGTAATGTAATCAAATTTATTTCAGCATTTGATCTCTTATAATTAAACCAGTTTTCCCAGCCATTTTTCTGCATATTTTAAAATATTACTTTTCACAGCAAATTTATCTAATTCTTTTTAGATATATGGTAGTTTAGCATCACTTAAATTAGTTATTGAAACTTAATTATTACTTAGAAATACTTCCAATGCAATTACCATTACCCAACACAAGTATAAAACCTGTGATTTATTTCTCCAGCTCTTCAAGCTATAACAAAATGGGTACTATGTCTTGCAAAGGTGGTGAATGTGAAGTGACATCACAGAGTGGTCTAATAGCATATGGCCAGAAACACTTGACATTCCATCTATTAAGCCACAATCAAGTCATCCACAATAAGAACCTCAAACTACTGCTTCTTATCTAACAAATTCCTTCAGAATATTTGAAGCACATGGTGCCTCCATTACTTTTCAAGTATCTAATGCATGATTTTTGCAGCGATAGACTTCTTAACATTTTTGACAAATGTCGAAATTCACAAATGACAACAGAAATCATTATAATATAGGCAAAATGTTTATACACTAGAGGTACAAATACTCACCATCTCATTCACTGCAACTAACAGATCTTTACGGGCCTTAGCAAATCGCTTTAATTGACCCCCAATCATATTAAATAACAGAGCATCAAGGGTCAATGAAAGCAACATACCAGGCCTCTGTACTTTAACAGCTACCAGTTCTCCAGAATGCAAGTGAGCTGCAAGACTTGAAGTGACAAAAGGATACATTTACCTTGAGTTTCACCAAAGATTATACTGTGCAAATCAATGCATAACAGAGAGAAATATAACAATAAAAACAGATTGAAGGTATATAACCTTCCTATCAAAAGACTCTCGAACCTTTATACACCTGTCCCAACGATGCTGCTGCGATAGGCTCTGGGCTAATATCAGCAAAAAATTTTGAAACTTCAACACCCAACTGAGTTTCAATAGATTTGATTGCAACATCAGTAGGAAATGGGGGTATTTGGTCCTGGCAGTAAAAGAGAAGTTTTTGACTATAAGAATAACAGAAACAAGGAAACTGCAAAAGAATCATGTCATGTAAGAATAAAAAGTTTGATGATATAATGAACTAGTAAAGAAGCTAATTAGAAAGCTGTCAAACCTGTAACTTAGCAAGCTCTTGGCAATATACAGTTGGCAATATATCTGGTCTTGTGCTAAGCGCCTGCCCAAGCTGCGAATTTTATATAAGATTAGATCAAACTTCTGCATTTTTTTCCAAAAGAAGTTTGAGAACAAACCAATGCATTAACATACTCTATCCATGTAAACCATTTGTCCTCACTCCATTCCGCAGCCATCATACATGGGAGAATTGATATTAAGAAACAAAAATAAGAAAATACAGAAGCTTACATATCTGAGTTGAGTTTATTGGAGGAAGGAGAAAAGTTCCAAGTCAAATGTGTCATAGGAGTTCAAAGAAAAATTTCAACATGAAAAGAAAACAATTACTCTGGTCAGAACTATCAGCATATCTATTGTACAAGAAAAAAGAAACTTGCCTTGATATAAAAAGGCCCCAAGCGGATTAGGGTTTCACAAAACTGCAATGAATCGCACAAATTACAGTAAATTTCAAAGTTTAAGGTTCTGTCTTTCCACAATCAAATTAGAAATTTCACATATCATAGCCAGTAAAATTTCACATGTCATAGCTAGTAATCTTACTGCCTCAACCATCCTAAGATTGTACTAAAAGAAATTCAAACATATGGTTTATCAAACCAGTATTAGTTTTCAGAACAAAAACTATAAGCAATTACCATGACAGCACGCTTATTGATGTCATGAATGAAGAATTGCCAAATGGTCAACTTCAAAACATGGAATGAGATGATTGCTGCTCTATACAAAGCCAAGAATGGACCAAAACGATAAGCAATGGAAGCTTTTTCGGAGCTATAAGCTCCAAGAGCAACCCCAAATTTACTTTCCAGTGATTCCTTTCTCCACCTTGCATATTCTGCCGATGGCCTTTCACCATGAACACTGGTCGTAGAATATCTGCGCAAAGCTAACTAAGCTTAATCACACAATCATGGAACTAAATGCTACATATTTACACCTATTGAAGATGCCACAGACTTACAATTTTTTTTGCCAACAGTATGATGGAAACCAAAAATCCTCTCTTCTTGCAAATCCAATGTATTCCAGATCTTCCAATGCTAAACATTTCTGTAAATCATATTTAAAGGTGCTACAACGAGGTAAAGCTGCACGAGGAATCAATTGGTAAAAATAAAACCTACAGGTCTCCATGCACGGAATATCAAACCAATACATCTCCATAATGCACAACTATATACATGACTAAATTTTGGTAGTTACTATTTCAACCAATTACAAGCAGAAGGTACATTAAATCTCTCGCGATGTAGTTACCACAAATCTAAGTGAGTCCATAAATAAAACGAAATGCTAATGAATATCTTAAATAACCAAACTAAAAATAAGACAACGAAGTATCGCAATGCTTGAATTTTTTTTTAAAAAAAAAAGAAGTATACAAAATCAAAATAAAGAAGAAGCAGTAAAAGCAAAAGCTAATATATTAATGAACTCAACTCAGTCCACTCATCTTTTTGGTTCCTGATAAAAAAAAAAAAAAAAAGAGTATGAAAATGATCACACATTCAGCGTTTCTTTATTTATAATTTGGTCTCAGACTCTCAGTCATGCCTTAGATAACTGAAAATAGAAACGTAATCTACGGTTCCTCTAATTTAACAATACTTTCTCTGCTATCAAATGAAAGGCAAAAGATGATAAACATAATAATGATAATTTAGAAAAGACTTGAAGAAAGAGTGAAAATGAGGAGCATTACTAGTGGAAGGCAATATGAAGCGGCGACGACGGTTGAGACTCGCAAAGACATTCCTCATTGGCTAAAATTGTAACGTTCATGAAACGAAATGTATGGAGTAGTTGAGTTCAAGCACCATCGGAAATATCCAGTGCGCAGAAATTGTTTGTTAAAATGCGCCAGTGGTAAAAGTCTGTTCAGCAATATGAAGCGGTAAAGGACGAGTACTGAGAGGCAGACTAAGAGAGTACGGTTATGTTTGAGAATTAATAGTATAATGACACGTATTGCTAGATGGCGCCTCCAGCGAACACCAAGCTACTGCCTCGCTCACTGAGATTTACAATTCGGGGAGCTGATTTTGTTGTAGTGTCATTATGTCGTCAAATATACGTGAAAGTAAGTGATAAATATTAAAATATAATTTATAATTTAAGGTATGATATTTTATCATAAAAAAAAATATATATATATATTAAGGTTAGCATAGACCCGACCCAACCACTTAGAGTTAGAGGAACCTAACCGCCCGTCTAAAATGGGTAGCTTCAGCTTTCTTGGTTGAGTGAATTTCAAAACTAGGGCCTTTTTAAGGTAGGGCGTACTGCGCATTGTCCTATTCGGCCCTTTGTTCTCGTTCTAAAATTTCTATTTCAAGCTTTCACTCGACAAATGGCGAATGAGCAACAGCTTTTGCGGCCATGGTTCCTCGACTTGGTGCCATACATGGTCGTTTTATTAATTGCTGCTCATGTCCTCGCTTTGGTACTCTCGATAATTACTCCACTTTAATTAGCAATGAACTTCTTTAGATTTCATCGAAATAGATCATTGATCTGTTTTTTTTCTTTGGTATTTACATGATTTAGGTTTACTGGATTTATAGATTAGCTACTGAAAGACAGCCTCAGCGACGAAAGGCTCACTAAACCTACACTTCAATATAGAGAAAGGTTTGTTTTACCATTTAATAATTGCGTTTTTGTTATTTTTTTCGTACTAAATTCAAGCTGTTTAAGCTTGAATATTAATTGATTTTTGCTTCGTGTTTGGTTTGCTAATAAGCTTGGATGTGGATAGTGAGCTTGGTTTAAAATGGTGATCTATGTAAAATTTGATTGTTCTTCGAATGCTGATTGCCATTTTGGTTAAGTTATCGTGTTGATTTGTAACAGAACTAAGAAACTGAAATTTCCATTGGTTATACCATTATCTTCTAATGCTATTATGCTTGTTGATATTACTTTTCAAGAATTGAAATGATTTTAATTTCAAGATATTTTTCATACTTTTAAGAACTATGGTTGGCCTAAGAGGCCTGATGAGTTGGTGCTGTTTCAGTTACTTTTACCACCAATCAAGCTCTTATGTTGCATGATCCGATATGAAATTGGTGATATTTTTCTTAATAAGCTTGGTAGAGGTAGTAATTCAATGGCTCTTATTTTCATTTTCATGATAACTGCTTGTGAACATTATTTACTTAAGATAAAAATATTGAAAATCAAAGTTTTGAATTTCTCAAGATTTTCACATGGACATGATAATATGTTAACGTAAGATGCATGATTAACTGTTGGTCTGTGTTACTTTGAATAAGTATGTGGGATTACTTATTTGAATAAATGAAGAAGAAACTCTACTCCGTATCTCTGGATAAAACATTATGAAGAAGAAAGTCTACTCCATATCTCTGGATAAAACATTACAAAATGATTTTGTTTCAAGCATGCAGAAGCCCTTTTTTCTACGAAACCTACAACCACATTGGTTTTGAGTCTTAGTTGTGATACAGAATTGTTGGTTCTTAATTTAATTGACTTTTTATAAAAAAATTTGTAACAATGAACGGGGCTGTGTTTCACTTCCTCTGGACTCCTATCAAGGATGGATTTATCTGCTTATTTAGTCAAACTGAGTTCATCGTCTATAAAGAATACGAAAGTCGGAACACTAGTCTCAATTAAGTTATGCATTCTGTGGATTTTGATATGGTCACTTCTCTCTTATTTCCGTCAAGGTCCGATTTATAATTACTGTTTATTTAATCAAACTAAGTCCATTATCTATAAAGACTGCCAAAAACTGGATACTAGTCTCCATAAATTTATATTTATTCATGAATTTGTTGGAATACTTATTGGAAATGTACGAAGAGGAAAGTTCACAACGTAACTCTTGATAAAATGTTATGAAATAATTTGTCTAAAGCTTGAAGAAGCTACTTTTCCAGTGAAACCTAGAATCACATTAGCTATTAAATTTTAGTTGTGATACATATTATTGTTTCTAGATTTCATTGATTTTTTCCCCTCTTCTTCTTATAACCATGGATGGGACCATGTCTCTCTTCTCCCTTTATTCTCATTAAAGATAGATTTATAATTACTGTGTATCTAATCAAATTAAGTCAAACACCTATAAAGAATACCAGAAACTAGATTTCTAGTCTCAATTGAGTTATGTATTCTGTGAACATTGATATGGTGTAAAGTTTGGATATGTGCCCTCCCTCCTCCCTCTTTAACAATTACCATCTCTTGGAATTGGTACAAAGAATATTGACCTCATTACCATGCAAAAATTAGACTCTTCAGCTACTTTAATCTTCAAGCGATTGGAACCAACTATATTTTTACATTATGTTTACAGGAAGTTCTTTCATCCAATCCTGAGTATGATTCTATCTAGAGAGGGTTTTTACAACACTGTAACAGGCTGCAATTCTCTTCTGTGGAGCTAAGTTCTCTTTGTATCAGATTGTGCTACTTATTCCTTGTCTGTACATTGTTTCTTTGGAGGATCTTGCTTTGACTTCATGTATACTCACTTGAATTGCTCACTTATCATTGCTGTTATACATAAAAACAGGCAGAATGGTCCAAGTGTTATCTTTGGTCTTTCTGTTGTTTACCCAAGACATGCATGCACTTGTGCACATGTATAACTTTTCGTAGTTCTATATAGTAATCACATGATTTAATGGGACTAGGTTTGGAGATCATATGAATTGAGCTGGTTTACTTGATTTTCCAGTTTAAAGTAATTATCAGAGATAATTGTAAACATTTATTCTACTTGTGCACTGAAATTGTTTTTAATCTGTTGACATGCTTAGTGTTATAAACGTGATGAGCAACTCCTAGTGAAGTAGAGATGACATTGAGTTAGAATGAATTTTTATTTTCGAAAAGGTGCACAACTGAAGATGTCTGCACCATGGTCGAATTGTAGTGCTTGGTTAGTTTCAAAGCGATATACTAGGTGGTATATGATGATTTATGATGGGTGAAACAGTTGGACGAAAATCTAGTATATGAGATAAGCTTGTGGGTGACCTTTTGAGGGTTATCTGGTGAAGAAAAAGAAAACATAAAGGGAAAGGAAAAGCTTGCTCATTTACTGAGTCTCATCAATATTCCTCACCGTTCCATCAAAAAGTAGACAAAAATCCTGCTATTCTACTGTAGTCCTTAGCTCTCAGCTTTAACAAGAAGATTACTTAAAATAAAATTTCCACAAGCAAGGGGCAGACCTCTCTACAGTGGTTCATACATGGTAGGACGGGTGGGGGTTGACTAAAGATCAACTGAATTTGAAGCGCTTGACCTCTCACTACCTTCTATTATGGGCATAGAGTAAATCTACACTTTGGATGGTTCATAATTTTTCAAATATGGGTAATTGAGGCTTTAATTATTTGATAGCATTTAGACATATAATAATGGTGACAGCTATTATATTATGTCAAAATCTAGTGGTTACCTATATTTAGTAGAATTAGTTTAGTGACTATCTTTGTTGTGGGAAGAAAATTGACATGCAAATTATTTATGAATTGTAAGTTAAGCTCTAGTAACCAAAATAGCAAGTGAAGTTTGCGCGAAGTACAGATGAGCTTGAGCATAAATTTTGCTTCTCTTTCTGTGTAGATGGTTATAGTAAGCAAGATCCCTTTCCACGGTAGGTTGAATGCTGGAATTTCCATTTCTGGAGGGTAGCGTATCACTGTATTACAAGGGGGTGGCAGATTAGGTAAATATTATATGTGGATATGATTACTTTTGAGATATTGGACGGTAGAAAGTAGAGAAAAGATTATAAATACTACTATCTGTAAAGCATGATGGAAATTTGATTAAAAAAAATATATATATATATTAAGGTTAGCATAGACCCGACCCAACCACTTAGAGTTAGAGGAACCTAACCGCCCGTCTAAAATGGGTAGCTTCAGCTTTCTTGGTTGAGTGAATTTCAAAACTAGGGCCTTTTTAAGGTAGGGCGTACTGCGCATTGTCCTATTCGGCCCTTTGTTCTCGTTCTAAAATTTCTATTTCAAGCTTTCACTCGACAAATGGCGAATGAGCAACAGCTTTTGCGGCCATGGTTCCTCGACTTGGTGCCATACATGGTCGTTTTATTAATTGCTGCTCATGTCCTCGCTTTGGTACTCTCGATAATTACTCCACTTTAATTAGCAATGAACTTCTTTAGATTTCATCGAAATAGATCATTGATCTGTTTTTTTTCTTTGGTATTTACATGATTTAGGTTTACTGGATTTATAGATTAGCTACTGAAAGACAGCCTCAGCGACGAAAGGCTCACTAAACCTACACTTCAATATAGAGAAAGGTTTGTTTTACCATTTAATAATTGCGTTTTTGTTATTTTTTTGGTACTAAATTCAAGCTTTTTAAGCTTGAATATTAATTGATTTTTGCTTCGTGTTTGGTTTGCTAATAAGCTTGGATGTGGATAGTGAGCTTGGTTTAAAATGGTGATCTATGTAAAATTTGATTGTTCTTCGAATGCTGATTGCCATTTTGGTTAAGTTATCGTGTTGATTTGTAACAGAACTAAGAAACTGAAATTTCCATTGGTTATACCATTATCTTCTAATGCTATTATGCTTGTTGATATTACTTTTCAAGAATTGAACTGATTTTAATTTCAAGATATTTTTCATACTTTTGAGAACTATGGTTGGCCTAAGAGGCCTGATGAGTTGGTGCTGTTTCAGTTACTTTTACCACCAATCAAGCTCTTATGTTGCATGATCCGATATGAAATTGGTGATATTTTTCTTAATATGCTTGGTAGAGGTAGTAATTCAATGGCTCTTATTTTCATTTTCATGATAACTGCTTGTGAACATTATTTACTTAAGATAAAAATATTGAAAATCAAAGTTTTGAATTTCTCAAGATTTTCACATGGACATGATAATATGTTAACGTAAGATGCATGATTAACTGTTGGTCTGTGTTACTTTGAATAAGTATGTGGGATTACTTATTTGAATAAATGAAGAAGAAACTCTACTCCGTATCTCTGGATAAAACATTATGAAGAAGAAAGTCTACTCCATATCTCTGGATAAAACATTACAAAATGATTTTGTTTCAAGCATGCAGAAGCCCTTTTTTCTACGAAACCTACAACCACATTGGTTTTGAGTCTTAGTTGTGATACAGAATTGTTGGTTCTTAATTTAATTGACTTTTTATAAAAAAATTTGTAACAATGAACGGGGCTGTGTTTCACTTCCTCTGGACTCCTATCAAGGATGGATTTATCTGCTTATTTAGTCAAACTGAGTTCATCGTCTATAAAGAATACGAAAGTCGGAACACTAGTCTCAATTAAGTTATGCATTCTGTGGATTTTGATATGGTCACTTCTCTCTTATTTCCGTCAAGGTCCGATTTATAATTACTGTTTATTTAATCAAACTAAGTCCATTATCTATAAAGACTGCCAAAAACTGGATACTAGTCTCCATAAATTTATATTTATTCATGAATTTGTTGGAATACTTATTGGAAATGTACGAAGAGGAAAGTTCACAACGTAACTCTTGATAAAATGTTATGAAATAATTTGTCTAAAGCTTGAAGAAGCTACTTTTCCAGTGAAACCTAGAATCACATTAGCTATTAAATTTTAGTTGTGATACATATTATTGTTTCTAGATTTCATTGATTTTTTCCCCTCTTCTTCTTATAACCATGGATGGGACCATGTCTCTCTTCTCCCTTTATTCTCATTAAAGGTAGATTTATAATTACTGTGTATCTAATCAAATTAAGTCAAACACCTATAAAGAATACCAGAAACTAGATTTCTAGTCTCAATTGAGTTATGTATTCTGTGAACATTGATATGGTGTAAAGTTTGGATATGTGCCCTCCCTCCTCCCTCTTTGACAATTACCATCTCTTGGAATTGGTACAAAGAATATTGACCTCATTACCATGCAAAAATTAGACTCTTCAGCTACTTTAATCTTCAAGCGATTGGAACCAACTATATTTTTACATTATGTTTACAGGAAGTTCTTTCATCCAATGCTGAATATGATTCTATGTAGAGAGGGTTTTTACAACACTGTAACAGGCTGCAATTCTCTTCTGTGGAGCTAAGTTCTCTTTGTATCAGATTGTGCTACTTATTCCTTGTCTGTACATTGTTTCTCTGGAGGATCTTGCTTTGACTTCATGTATACTCACTTGAATTGCTCACTTATCATTGTTGTTATACATAAAAACAGGCAGAATGGTCCAAGTGTTATCTTTGGTCTTTCTGTTGTTTACCCAAGACATGCATGCACTTGTGCACATGTGTAACTTTTCGTAGTTCTATATAGTAATCACATGATTTAATGGGACTAGGTTTGGAGATCATATGAATTGAGCTGGTTTACTTGATTTTCCAGTTTAAAGTAATTATCAGAGATAATTGTAAACATTAATTCTACTTGTGCACTGAATTTTTTTTTAATCTGTTGACATGCTTAGTGTTATAAACGTGATGAGCAACTCCTAGTGAAGTAGAGATGACATTGAGTTAGAATGAATTTTTATTTTCGAAAAGGTGCACAACTGAAGATGTCTGCACCATGGTCGAATTGTAGTGCTTGGTTAGTTTCAAAGCGATATACTAGGTGGTATATGATGATTTATGATGGGTGAAACAGTTGGACGAAAATCTAGTATATGAGATAAGCTTGTGGGTGACCTTTTGAGGGTTATCTGGTGAAGAAAAAGAAAACATAAAGGGAAAGGAAAAGCTTGCTCATTTACTGAGTCTCATCAATATTCCTCACCGTTCCATCAAAAAGTAGACAAAAATCCTGCTATTCTACTGTAGTCCTTAGCTCTCAGCTTTAACAAGAAGATTACTTAAAATAAAATTTCCACAAGCAAGGGGCAGACCTCTCTACAGTGGTTCATACATGGTAGGACGGGTGGGGGTTGACTAAAGATCAACTGAATTTGAAGCGCTTGACCTCTCACTACCTTCTATTATGGGCATAGAGTAAATCTACACTTTGGATGGTTCATAATTTTTCAAATATGGGTAATTGAGGCTTTAATTATTTGATAGCATTTAGACATATAATAATGGTGACAGCTATTATATTATGTCAAAATCTAGTGGTTACCTATATTTAGTAGAATTAGTTTAGTGACTATCTTTGTTGTGGGAAGAAAATTGACATGCAAATTATTTATGAATTGTAAGTTAAGCTCTAGTAACCAAAATAGCAAGTGAAGTTTGCGCGAAGTACAGATGAGCTTGAGCATAAATTTTGCTTCTCTTTCTGTGTAGATGGTTATAGTAAGCAAGATCCCTTTCCACGGTAGGTTGAATGCTGGAATTTCCATTTCTGGAGGGTAGCGTATCACTGTATTACAAGGGGATGGCAGATTAGGTAAATATTATATGTGGATATGATTACTTTTGAGATATTGGACGGTAGAAAGTAGAAAAAAGATTATAAATACTACTATCTGTAAAGCATGATGGAAATTTGATTAAAAAAATTGTGAATTTGTCTTTTATGATCAAGCGGTTTGTGTTGGTGGGTATTTTCCTGATTCCTAACTTTTGTGTCTTCAGTTTTTTCTTTTGTTTTTATGTACAAATCAAGTTATTTACACTCTAATTAATTAACCAAAAGAGACAAAAACGAAGCCATCATATCTTAGGTCATCAAGGGGATAGTTAATTGTGAAGATGCCAACAAACTTATGGTCATTGATCTCTAATTTTGAACACATATGGGCGAACAATAACTATGTTCTTATAAAATATTCCGTAAATTAATAGTGTATTAAACAACTTAAATATTGAGTGATCTCGTGGAGACATTTAATAATTGTACATACTACATAGCCGTTGTGAGTTGGTATTGTCATATAATACAGCTGCCACACTGCAACATGATGTCGTTTGACACTGCCACGTGTCATAAAATAGCTCTACTGTGGCATGTGTGATTTAACTGAGTTACCCAATCCGTTCATTCGCATCATTAATGTCTATACTGCCTTAATTACTCTTCCCACGTGTCGTTATCTTGATCGTCAACATCGATGAAGTCAACAACTACAACAAAAACAAAATCAAAAGCATGTTTGTGAAAATTATCGTCCCACTCCAACTTCGTTTACTCTAAACCGACTTCACAATTCGCCCCAACTGCATCACCCTAAATTACTTAATTGCCATACCTTTTTTCTCCTCGTGCTCTAAGATAAAAAAATATTTTATAATAAAAGTAAGGTCCCTATTCTTTACAGTTCAGGACTGACTGAGGTGGGGCCATGCAACTCACTAACGCAGCATTATTAAGGATTGCCACGCTGTGCTAAAGCATAAGATTATAGAATAATAAACCTTCATTAGGGTCCTTTGTGCCGAAAGGGAGGATAAAAAAAAGAAAAAAAAAAAGGATTATAATTATCTCAATGGTCCCTCAACTGATTTGGTTAGTCATGACTCATAAGTATAAAATTGATCGTTGACCAATTTATTTACGGTAATTCCTATAATAATCAGTTAAAAAGATTCTTAAAAAATAAATTATAGTAACAAATTATAGAAGGACATTATTAATTAAGGAACAATGTTTAATGAAACAATAAAAAAGGAGACATAAGTTTTAAAATAACTTTAAAAGAGATAAAATATTGTAAAAAATAGTTAGATTTAACATTTTTTAACTGTAAAAATGCCATTTGATAAAGTGTAGTATTTTATAATTTTAAAATATGTTTAGTTAAAAAGTGAATTAATATTAAAATTATAATTAGTTCTAAAATTGTTTTATAATAATTAAAAAAAAAAAAAAAGAGTAAAGCAGGGCATTTTTTTTAAGGGTTTTCATTTTTTTTTTAATAAATTCAATGGTTTATTAACTTTTCTCTTTTTTCAATTAAGTTGTTTTTTTATTTTACTAAATTTATTTTTTGGTTTTTTTTTATTTTTACTTTTTTTGAATGATTTTTAAAACATATTTTGTATAAATATTAGTATATGGATAGATATATCTTTTAATTTTCTCCATTAAATCTATAGATAATTAACAAAACATTATTATTTCCAAATTTACGTCATTTTCTTATAATTTATTTAAACATTATTCTCTAGTTGATAATATCCCAATTATAGATTCAGTAATATTATTATTATTTGTTATGCAGTAAGTTGTTAAGTACAGTAAAATCTCTCCACAATGATACTTTATATAGGAATAAATTCTACACAATCATAAAAAATTATATTCCCAATATGGGATAGTTATAAATAAGAATAAACTCCGTATTGTAATAAGTTATAATTTTTCTAATTCTCGTCTTAAGGAAATTTGCTTCCATATAGTAATAATTATCTGTATATTGCAAAAAAAATATGGTATATTATATTAAAGGTTTAAGATGAAATAAAATATTTATCTGAAGTTGTTTGGGACAATAATTTTTACTTTAGAATTGTTATTACATCTTTTAACTTGCGGCTACATTACTCGCTAGCATGAACATTTTCTTATTAAAGTCAAAACATTTCTAACTTTTCAAACATGTTTAAATCTTCTTGACATGAAAGTTTTTGTATTTCCGTACTTTCATCTTCATAATTATTTCCTTTCTCTTATTGTTTAATTGTAGAAATAATTTATTTTTTTGTTAAAACATACATGACTTGTTACTCATTTGGATGATTAAGGAAAACATTAATATTCATTTAATTAGTTTAGTGAAGTTGTCGAATTTGATCACTCAATTTTATAATGACTCTTTAATTTTCCTCATCCACTTCATTTGTAACTTGTAATTCATCGACATCAGGGTCTTAATTTTGTAATGCTTAAAACAATTGACAATTATCTATGGCTTCACATCAGTTGCAATGCAGCAACTGCATTTACAATTCCATCAATAACAGTTATCTTTGTTGATTTTAAAATACGATCTTTTATCCGTTTCAAAAGTAGACAATTGAAACGCTGAATTGAAACTATAATATTATTAAAATATGAATTGAAATCCTAATAAATAAGAAATTTTTTTAACTATATCTTTATTAAGTCATCACCTCTTTAGAGTAATAAAATTAGTTAGTTCCACCTTTATAACTAGAGACGTTTTACTATATATTAGCGGTTAATAAGAGAGATATGATTATCGTCCATTTCCGTACAAAATTAAATAATAGAAAAAAATATATTTTTTTTCTAGGAGAATAAAATGAATTACATTAACTTATTAGCTGTTCAATATTAAAGGGGCTCTCTCGTAGTTTCGTCGAAATTGAGGGGTACCTTAATCACCTAATCTTCTTCTGATATTAATAATATCTCTCATATTCATATAGTACAGTCTCTCTCAAACAGCACTCTTCACTCCGAAACGGAGAGTCGTAGAGAGAAATATAACTTTTACGGAGAGAACTAAAAAGAAAAAGAAAGAAAGAGTAGATTTAAAGAGAAAGAATAGAAGAGTTTCTGTCACAAAAGAATCACCATGTGCCCTACAAAGCAAAAGCACCGGATATCAACCACCGAACACGCCGCTAAATGTTCCTCCAACACAACTCCCGATTGGATCACCGAGACAATCACCGGCGGATCCCTTCGCCACGTCGACCTCCACACCGGAGTTAACGGCTGGGCTTCACCGCCCGGGGAAGTCTTCTCCCTTCGCTCCAAAAATTACTTCTCCAAAAGACAAAAATCACCTGCCGGTGATTATCTACTCTCTCCTGTCGGCATGGACTGGCTCAGGTCCAGTACCAAACTGGATAACGTACTCGCCCGCTCCGACAACCGTGTATCACACGCGCTCAGAAAAGCGCAATCTCTGGGTAAGTCATTGAAGAGCTTCATTTTCGCTGTCAATCTTCAAGTTCCAGGCAAGGACCAACACAGCGCGGTATTTTATTTCGCTACCGAGGATCCTATCCCCTCCGGTTCGTTACTTAACCGGTTTATTAACGGAGACGACGCGTTTAGGAACCAGCGGTTTAAGATCGTAAACAGGATCGTGAAAGGGCCGTGGATCGTGAAAAAGGCGGTGGGAAATTACAGTGCGTGTTTGTTAGGGAAAGCTCTGACGTGTAATTACCATAGAGGACACAACTATCTGGAGATTGACGTGGATATCGCTAGCTCGACGATCGCCAATGCGATTTTGCATCTAGCATTGGGTTACGTGACGAGCGTTACTATAGACATGGGGTTTCTGGTGGAGGCGCAAGCAGAGGATGAGTTGCCAGAGAGATTAGTTGGTGCAGTTAGGGTTTGCCAGATGGAAATGTCTTCGGCATTTGTAGTTGACGCGCCACATGTTGTAACAAATGCGCGTGGGTTGGGTCCAGCCAAGGTTAATCATCATAAATCCGGCGAATTCGACGACGACGATGGCGAAAAAAGGGATGAAAAATGTTGACATAATTTTTTCTTTAATAATTTTCTTGGGAAATTTTCTATTTTACGTTTATTTCCGGATTTTAATGTGATTCAGGCTCCCTTTTTTACGGGGATGGATGGTTGTAGATAATAAAATGGTAACCAAGTAAACAACAAATAACAATCAGCAATGTTGAAAAAACATAACAAAAATTTGTTTAAGGAAACATTAAATTCTGAAATGTCTGTTATTCTGTTCTTTGTTATTGTGTTGGGTTGCGTAATTGATTAGTGCTGTGAGGATGAGGAAGAGCCGAAAGAGAAGGGAATGTGAATCTTAATGTCCTTTTATAATTTATTAATTTTTATTTCTGTTTTCTCGATGGGGACTGACAACTGTTTAGATTTTGATGGTGGGATCAGGAGTAAAAGTATGATTCCTTTTGATTCCATGATGGTAAATTGCTGAAGAATCAAGGTTGAGATGTAATTATGGGAGAATTGATTGATTTGGTTAGATTTAGATGTTGAAAATCGAATCTTCCGTTCTGGTAAGAGATATAGAATGAATGGTTAGGAGGTGTGGTTGTGGCCTTGTGGTACCAAACTATGGCTGATGGCTCCACTCCGGGCCCTAATTGGCTCGCTGGCTGTTGTCCGTACCAGCTCTCTGTGCTCTACTCCAGATTCTTAGCTGTGAAATTCACATTCACGTGGTAGGAAAAAAAAAAAAAAAAAAAAAAAAAAAGATTTGATGATGTAGAAAATGGGATTGTTATTTTCGATGCCATTTACTACTGTAATTTAGTTTAGTTTGAGAGCCAGCAAAGCGTCCCCACTTGACCTTGAGATTCCCTTGGGCTCTTTATTTTATCTCTTTTGGCTTTATACTTAATACTAAACCGATTGGAGGAAGAGATTGAAACTTTTAACTGTCCTTAGTTGATAGGTGGTTAGACAAGAGCTATTAAAATAATGTTGTTTAATTTTTGATATAAATAAAAAGTATATTCATTAATTTTTAAATATAAAAAACACAATTTTTTTTTTTCAAATCCAATAGATCCTTTAAATTTAATAAAGATGTTCTTTATTTTTAAGAAAGAGACTTAATGGGAGAGAGAATTAATAAATAAAATATATAAAAACTTATAGTTTATTAATTAAAATTAGGATAGAGAGTAAAATTTGAGTCAAACTCACTCTCTAATGTATATTTTAAAGATAAAGAGCCTATTGAACTCTTGTTTTTATGGATAAACTCTTTATAATAAAAAGTTTAAGTCATATAAAGAGTCATTTGGAGATGCTCATGAGTTTGAGTATCTCCTTAGTTGTTAATAGGGATAGAGAGCTATTGGAACTCTTATTCGGTCTATAGTTTTAATTTTTTTTTTTTTTAACCCGAATTTAACTTAGTAATAATCTAACTTTAGTTGGACTAGAAAAAACTAATTTTTCCAATGCTACTTAGTTTTATATGCTCCGTGGTACCAACATTATTGTAAAGATTATTCTTATGGCTCTAGTAGTTTCCCGTTCTGAGAACCAGAGCTTGGTTTTGGTTTTGGTTTTGATTTTTTCATCATGTTTTAAACACCATAATTGCTTAATTTGCCTATGATTTAATAACAGTAAACATGATTTTGTCAAAGTTTAATGGCGCTTTTCACTTATACTTTTCTCTGGATTGAAGGAGAAAAAGTTGAGTTTGTCTAATGTGATACATAATTTTGATTTTAAATGTTACCTAAAAATTATCAATAACTTTTTGGTGCCAGATTTGATGGCCAGTTGGCCACAATAGATGATGTTTTTCTGTTGGTAGATGCTACAAGACTCAATAGATTTATGGATTTATGTTAGCAATTTTGGTAATTGAGAGAGATGGGCCGTCCATAACATGATTGCAAACTTTCTCGTTCAGGCATGGCTAACTCGTGGAAGAATTGCATTCATCGAATCCCATGTGTAAGTCCCATTTATTATCACTTTTATAGCTATCCATTTGTTCCCATTTTTCAAAAAAATGTTGTCATGCTGCTAATTATATATATATCAAACTTTTCCCATAAAGTTTAGGAAAACAATGCATGTCAAACTTGGAATTGGATAGCTCGACAATTGAAAACAAAAAGTTGTGCTATTATACAGGAAATCCTTGTCGGATTATAAAACATAACTCAAAAAACAATATCAAAACTCAAAAGAAACGAACAGAAGTTAATATTATTCAGTGTTGTTGTTATAAAGATTTATGATTCATTACACAAGATTCTGTTTAAGAAGAGATAATAACGGCAGAAAAGAGTGAACAATTGTTCATTATGGCCATTCAACTTGGTCGCCATTGATGCACAACTTGTAGAAATGTAATAAAAAAGAGCTTAATTGAGTTTAGTTTGATTGACTTTCAGTTCAAAAGAACTGATATGTGTTGAATGCACTAGTTTGGATTCAAATATAGACTAGTTAATTGTCTGTATGATCTAGTTTATGTACTTGTTTGTGTGTATTGTTGTGGAATTTTTTCTGCAATGGCACTGTTCATGTTGAGTGGTGGATGATTATTCCCTTGTGACGTTGGGACGTCGTGAGAAACCCCAAATTTAGTGGGGTTAAAAACTTCATTATAGATGCTAGTCGTGGTGAGGTTAGAATAACCTTATTATGACGAGAATAGCTAAAAAGGCCATATTGGTTTGCTAAGCCAATGATAACTATGACCTCAAAGAGGAAGATAAAACAAATCCTTTTAACTTTAAATATATTTAATAATATTCAAGGATGATTACAAAGCACAAAATAAGACTTTATTTATACTCTCCCAAGTGAAAAAGTAAAGCATGTCTTTCTCATGTGGGACAAAATAGAAGTCAACATAAATATAATTAATTTAATTTTTTTTCTTTTTTTTTATGCTCCCGCATTATTCTTTCGAGGTTAGAAGAGATTCGCCATTGAGTCCCATGTCTTCATCATGTTCTTTAAAAATCTTGCGATACACTTTTTTTTTTTGGAATGATAGAGCTAGAATGAAATTAATAGCATGTTGAATATCTTGCATTAGTGGCAACCCACCGACACAACATTAGAGAATTCTTGAAGTAATTGCTTGACTTTTTCAGGCAAGGCAAGATACACTTCATTTTCTTTACACAATAGTAACAAACACACCTGGTTTATTTCCCGACAAGCTTTCTCAAGACTAGATCTCGTGATAAATGCTGCAAGCTCCTCTGGTTTCTTCAAACAATTTTCTGGTCTCATAGGAGTCAATATTACCCTTACACCATCCTTTTTGAAAGAATACGTGTTCTTGTATCTATCATGAAGAGCTTGACAGTCGTACTCCATGGACGTCCCAATAATAAGTGGCAAGCATCCATCAGAATAACATCGCACCAAACTTCATCTTGATACTTATCCTCAATGGAAAATTGAACACAACAACGCTTGGACACCTTGATTTTGTTTCCTTTCCTCAACCATTGCAATTTATAAGGATGAGGATGTGCTATAATTGGAAGCTTCAATTTTTCTACCATATAATTGACAACAACATTTTCACAGCTACCCCTATCAATAATGACGTTACAAACCTTCCCTTTGGACATGCACTTTGTATGGAAAATATTGTGACGAAGCCAACTTTCATCTTCAGTCATCATAACGGTGCTAAGATTGCGACGTACCATAAGGGATTCTCCATTATCAGCATGTACTTCTTACATTCTGTCCTCATCAAGCATTTCTTCTTTGCCTATTGTATCCTCCTCAGCATGATTTTCAATAGCTTCTTCCTCCACAAGTGAAATAATTATTCGATTTAGACAATCAAAAGCAATATGCCCAAAGCCTTTGCACTTAAAACATTTTCTTGAAGCGGCATTAGAAGTGGGACTAGAACCACCCTCGTTATCGTTTCTATGAGAAAGGTTGAAGGAGTTTACTTTAGGATTTGGAACGGGTGCTAAACTTTGTTCCCCACAATTTATTGTAGTCTCCCTTTGTCTAATGGAATTTATAGTGTTCTTTCGTGCCCGCTGCTTCTCAACCTTAATCCCTAGCTAGAAAACATCAATTAGACTCCAATATGGTTGTAATTGTAAGACATATGCAATCTCTACATTAAGACTTCCTAGATAATGAGTGATAGTTTGCTCTTCCGGTTCATTGATATCACACTTCAGAAAAAGTTGCTCAAACTCTATTGTATACTTTTCTACTGACATGGTTCTTTGTCTTAAATTACGAAATTGAAGAAAAGTGTCTTGCCGATAATGTGCTGGAAGAAACTTTCATTTGAGTTCTCGGCGCATCTTCTCCCATGATCTGATATTCTGATGACCTCTTTCTCGCTGTTGTTTCAAATTCTCCCACCATATAGATGCATATTTCTTCAATTTTATTGCAACCAGTTTCACACGCTTCCCATCAGGAACATCTTGAAGCTAAAAAATTCTTTCTATAATGTGTAACCAATCAATAAAATCATCTGGTTAAAGTCTTCCCTTTAACAGCTAGCTTGATGATTCTCATGGTGCTTCTCATTTGCCTATAGCCCCTTAGGCATGGGTTCGAGTCATGGGGGAGGCGAAGAAATCCCTTAAGAGAGGGGGGGGGGGGGGGGGGGGGGGGGGGGGGGGGGGGGGGGGGGGGGGGGGGGAACACTACCTGCCACGTAGGGAGCTGTGTGAACTCCGTGGCCAGGCTAGTCAGGGTGTCAGAGCCAGGCGGTCCGTTACATCAGGAATATCTACTCAGAAGCTTGAAATCCCAAATTCACTACGTATCTCGAGATAAAGAGTCTTCCCCAAATGGATTGGTGCCCTCACCTTCACTGTTGGAGCTATTGCCGATTTCATCATCTTGATCTTGTGTGACTCCCTATCTTGTAAGTTGTTCTTGTAATTCTCTGATTTGGTTTCGTAATTCCTCAATTTCAACATCTCGAACAGTTCTTTGACGATTTTGGGGTTTTTGTGGCATTTTTTGGTAGGGGTGATGAGGTATAAAAATCAAATAATTCAAAGGAACTTAATTTAGTAGTAAGTGCTACTATGGTTCAATACGCACCAAGAAAATTCCCAAGAAAGTGGAGGGGTCACAAGCGTTTCCACTTAAAACTCACTTTCCTTAGACTCTTATTGTCTTGTTGACATAATTTTCTTAGACATGCATATGAATTAAATAGCTACTCACTGTCCTAAACCAAAGCTCTGTAAACTAATGATTAGGCAAGGAAAAAAACTTGAATAATGGCTACTTGAAAGTAAAAGTGAGAAGGAGGAAAAATACCTGAAGAAGAAACCAAATCTTTGGTACCAAGCTGACACTAGGATGTTGTGAGAAACCCCAATTTTGGCGAGGTTGAAAACCTCACTATGGATGTCAATTGTGGTGAGGTTAGAATAACCCTACTATGGCAAGAATAGCCAAAAAATGTCATTTTGGTTGGCTAAGTCAAGGATAACTATAACCTCAAAGAGAAAGAGAAAGCAAATGCTTCAACTCTAAACATATTTAATAATATTCAAAGATGATTATAAAGGACAAAGTAAGACTTTATTTATAGACTCCTAAGTGAAAAAGTAAAGTATGTCTCTCCCATGTGGTGGGACAAAACAAAACAAAAGTCAACATAAATATAATTAATTTAATTTAATTTCTTTATCCTTTTTCCTTTATGCTCCCACATTACCTTTATTACCATACACACACACATACACATAGTAAAACCTTTATATAATGATATTTTATACTCTACATATGAATAAACTCTACATTGTAATAAGTTATAATTTTTTTAATTCCCGTTTTAAGAAAAGTTGCCTTCACATAGTAATAATTATCTGTATATTACAAAAAAAATATATGATATGTTACATTAAATGTTTAAGATGAAATAAAATATTTGTCTAAAGTTGCTTGAGATAATGATTTATGTTTTAGAGTTGTTACCACATCTTTTAACTTGTGAGTAGATTACTCTCTAGCATGAACATCTTCTTGTTGAAGCCAAATATTTCTAGCTTCTCAAGTATGTTTAGAGCTTTTTGACATAAAATTTTTGTATTTCCGTACTATCATCCTCATAATTATTTCCTTTATCTTCTTGTCTAATTGTAATAATGATTTCTTCTTTCATTAAAACATACATGACCTATTGCTCATTTGGATGATTGAAAAATACATTAATATTCATTCGATTAGTGTAATGAAGTTATCGAATCTGATCACTCAATTCTACAATGACTCTTTGATTCTCCTCATCCACTTCATTTGTAACTTGTAATTCATCAACATCGAGGATCCTAACTTTGTAATGATTAAAACAATTGGCAATAGTATGTGGCTTCACATCAATTTGTTGCATAATTTTGTAATGATTAAAACAATTGGCAATAGTTTGTGGCTTTACATCAATTTGACCATACAATAACTGCATTTGTAATTCTATCAAGGATACTTATTCTTGCTTGTTTCAAGATATGATCTTTTATCCGTTTCAAAAGTAGACAATTAAAGCGTTAAATTAAAATCTTAATAGTATTAAAACATCAATTGAAATCCTAATACTGTACTACTAAAACATGAATTATAAAAAAAAAATTGTTACCACACCTCTATTAAGTTATAACATTTTCGTAGTAATAAAATTAATTAATCTCATCATTATGATTATAGAGATGTTTTACTGTATATATATATAATTTGAATATTCAACTATGGTGTAGCTTAAGCCGGAACACGATGAAACTCAGTTTGGATTTTCTCCGTTAATTGGGCACCTCAATTTGCATTTCCATTTGACAAACGATATTCTGAATATCTTGCCGTATCTAAACTAAAACAGCACCAAAGATTAACTTGTGATTTGCGTTGTACTGGGTCAAGTCTACGGCAATATGGCACCTACCCTTAAAGAAATTTCAACCTTTTGTTTTATGGCCTTCAACTGGCGCGAAATGTATAATTGCCCTAATTCTATCTATAATGTACTCTTTGTTTAGTATATTTCCCAATGTCAATCGAATTATAGTTCGCTTCCTAAATTGGTTAACGACTTGCCTAATTGTATCTTCCCGTGGACCCTGTTACTAATGCTGGTTTTGAAAACTGAAGAAGAATTCAAAGAAGTTCGTAATTTCTGTTTTGTATTATGGGGCCTTGGAGAAGAAAAAATTGGGCGGGCTTTGGATTATATGTTGACACAAAGTCTTCGGCTCTGTAGAGTTGTAAGTCTATAAATTTATGTATGATTGTTCATTAGCTTCACAAATCAGTGCCGTGTTCTTGTTTATCTATGGCCATTACCAGTCTTCTCTTCTTCTTTGCTTTACTTTTCTCTTGTTATTTGAGCAAGACATTAGTTTATGGAGCTGCGATGGTGACTTGCTCGGCTTCTACTAAAGGTATCCTATATCTTCTTCCAAAGCCAATACTTAATTCTTGCCCTATATATTTTGATCGTTCTTAAAGTTTCTCTACTGGTGCTTGCAGGAAAATTTCATGGTTTACGAATAGCTTCGAGATACGGGCCCTGTTCGCCACTGGCCCAGGAGAATTCAACTCCTGATTCAAGCCAAATTCTTCTGAAAGATGAAGTCAGAGTTCGCTCTATCAATTCCTTAACCTCTAACGTGTATACAACACTTGACCAAGATGAGCAGAAGGGGACTGGGATGCGTCTCTTTGGCGCCGCTGACATTGGAGCTGGCAATTTTGTTGTCATGGTTGGTTTTGGCACTCCAAAACAAGATTATCCATTCATTTTTGACACAGGCAGTGACGTCACTTGGATGCAATGCAAGCTATGTTCTGTGAATTGCCAACAAACTGCTTCCATTTATAATCCTGCTGAATCTTCAACTTTTTCGAATGCTACTTGTTCTTCTTCACCATCTTGTAATTATTCTATAAACTACGAGGACGGATCCTATACCGAAGGATATTATATACGCGATACCCTTACTGTAGTGCCTAATGAAGTTTTCCCCAACTTCGTTTTTGGTTGTGGCCAAAATATTAGCCATAATAAATTTGGTCGTGCTGCTGTGCTGCTTGGTCTTGGACAAAAGGGTTCTAATACTCTATTGTCGCAAAAAAACTCAAAGTTTCGTAAAACTTTCTGTTACTGTCTCCCAGCTGCTGATAGCTCCAGAGGATATCTCTGGTTCGGCCCCCAATCGCTTGAAGCTTGTCAAACAAGTAAATTCACACCTCTTGTAACTGGCCCACGTGACAGTACCTTCTATTTTGTTAATCTTATTGGTATAACGTTTGGAGAACTTAGATTGAACGTTTCTTCGTATTTTCAATCGTCCCTAACACTATACTAGACTCTGGAACTGTTATAACTCGCCTTCCTCCTTCAACCTATTCAGCTCTCAGCTCTGCATTCAGAAAATCTATGTCACAATACCCTCGTGCTGCGTTTTTGAAACCTAATTTGGACACAGGCTACAATCTTGAGAATTACCCGGATGTGAAAATACCAAGCACGGTGCTGCATTTTGAAAATTCAGTCGATGTAAATTTGGATTCAACGGCAGTAACTTGGAGAGAAAGCAACTCTCAAGTTTGCTTGGCATTTGCTGGAAGCGAAAAAGAAGATAAATTGACCATTATTGGTAATCATCAGCAAAGGAACATGAATGTACTGTATGACATCCAAAATGGAAAGGTAGGATTTAGGATGGGTGGTTGTGGCAACTGAAGGCCAACTATAATAATATTGAAGCACAAGACCAAGGAGAAAAATAAAGTAATAATTGTTATAAACTGTGTGAAAATATCTACCAAGTCTTCTTTTCTATGATGCCCAAATGTGAACAGATTTTGTACTTTCAGTGTTCTGTAAAAATCTAATGAATCTGTTAAATCCAATTGTATATCTGGTAGAACCTTTAGTTCATACAGCTTATATTCAAATTATTGCATACTTTAGTTGGCAACTGTACAAACGAAGCCTTGTTGTCTAACCCTCCAAACTCCAAAACTGAAAGTAACTAAGATATGAAGTCTACATTTATTTTTATAAAGAAAAAAAAAAAAACATATTCAGTGAAGTAATTTGAGATTGAGAAAATCTTTCGTGTAACGAATGCATATAGAACCAATTAATAAGGATGTGTATAACGTCAACACTCATAATATATACACATTTTTCGTTACCTAATTGTATGTGCATAGAAGTATTTTCATATTGTCACAATACCAAATCCGGTACAGCTGCATGCATGTTTTATAAAAATCAAAGCACGTGAATTTGAACTAAACTGAACTTGTTTGGGGGTTTGGGGAGAAAGAGAGCAGTCTCAGAGATTCCTTTAGTGGAAATTGAAACAACTTGGGATATATCATACATATGGACGCGTAAATATTAACACAGAACCTGGACCGCAGACGACCTTACATGTTCTAGAGTCTCAGAAGAGGTCTTGCCCACATGTTACTCGATGCATATAAATCCAAAAACATAAGCCACTAGTTGTTTTGGAAGTGTGACTTTACTAAAAGGATTAGGCGCCGTAGGAGTTACGAAACAGTTGCCGTTTCGAATATATTTGTAGCAGAATAGACTCATGAAGTGAAGACCTGCTGCTGTGTGTCGACTTTGGAGTCCAGGTCTTTGGCCTTTAGCTGAAGAGCAAATTTTCACTCGGCATTTTTTGGCTTTATACGGAAGATACCGATATCTCTCTCGTTCTATATAAAGAGTACTCGTCACTAAAGTAGGTTCACAAATGCTTTGAAGTAGTCACTGCAATTTGCTCATTGTGTTTCACTAGATTCATACATACAAAAATGGGTCGTTTCTTGGCTAACTTTTGCCGTCTTCTTTGCTTTTGTTTTCTATTTTTCTCTTTTGTTTCTGGAGCCAGAGAATTGGCAGATGATCGCCAACATGCTATGGAAATGAGGCCACTCATGCCTACATCCAAGAGCACTCCTTTAATTACTAACCAAGGTTTGTTTTTCTTTCTTATAATATTTGCTTATTTGATAGATCAAACACATATATCAGTGCAGTATAAAGTCATTCGTATTGGAATGTGAACATTTTTTGGTAATTGATGAAAATGTTACTAAAAAAGAAAAGGTGAACAAGAAGAAAAAGAATTTAAGTTTTATTCAAATTTATATTTTAGGAATTTGTAATTGAGAATATTTATTTTTCTTTATTTTAAGTTGTATTAGGAAAGAAGAATTGGTTTGAGATTTTACTTAGGGTTAAAATAGGAGAATGAATTAAATTAAGGAAGTTCTATTAGGATTTAAAATATGAATTTTAGTAGAAAAATAATATTTTATTCTACCTTAAATAGAGGGCTTAGACCAATTCAAGATTATGAAAGAGGGAATAAGAGAATGCGAAAATGTGAGGACACAAAAGTTTTGATGTAAGGGTACCATACTAAGAGTATTAAACATTATAGGAACAAAATGTCTACCTAAGTATTAGGTTGATGGTGTGATGTGCCTAAGTAGTAAATTGATGGTGTGATGCACTCATGTATTGTGTTCAGAAAATATTAGTGAATTTCTCTCATTTGTGGATGTAGATAAATCATATCGAACTATGTAAAATATTGGATCTCTGTTGATATTCTTCACATATTTGTTGTTATTTATTTTATTTTTTACACGAGTTTTAGCAATAACAATTCCTTTTTCAGGACCCGGCTCACAGCTTGCCCAAAACCAATCCAAAGATCGCTCTCTCGTTTCCCTCCCATTTGGAGGGCCTAAACTTTCTCTGCAGCCAATTGGCGCTGACAATTATGTTGTCACAGTTGGGTTTGGCACACCTAAACGTGATTTAACCTTAATGTTTGACACAGGCAGTGCCACCACTTGGATCCAATGCAAACCATGCATTAATTGCTATGAACTAGAGGAACCCATTTTTGATCCTTCTCAATCTTCAACTTTTTCCAATTCTTCAGAGCAGTACACCCAAAAATACCACGACAAGTCTTATGCCAGTGGATATTTTGCACACGATGCCTTAACCATGGATACTTATGAGGTTAAAGACTTTGAGTTCCTTTGTGCCCATAATACTGGTGGATTCTTTGGTGAAGTTGCCGGGCTTCTTGGCATCGGCTTAAGTGACAATTCTCTGATATCTCAAACATTCTTAAATTTTCTTCAATTGTTCTGCTACTGTCTCCCACCCACAGAAAACTCCTCTGGGTTTCTTGTTTTTGGAATTACAGCAGCAACAACTTGCCTTCCTCAATTTGGTACTCCACTTATAAGTGATCCAGATGGATACAATCGATACTTTGTCAACCTTGTTGGTATAACAATTGGAAACAAGACATTGCAAATATCTTCAAATGACGCTTCATCATTACGAAACACCATTATTGACTCTGGAACCCGCATCAGTCGCTTGCCTCCATCAGTTTATTCAGAACTTCGCTCTTCATTTAACAAGTTGATGTCAAAATATCCTGTTGCGCCAAACTCTAGCTTGTTGGACACGTGCTATAATCTTCAGGGGTACGATCAAAGCAGTATCATACCATCTATGATATTGCATTTTGATAATTCCGTGGAGTTAAATTTGGACCATAATTCTGTTGTTTTGAGTGAGACTGATTATAAAGTCTGTTTGGCTTTCGCTGAAGATACTGAAACAATTATTGGTAGCTATCAACAACGGAATGTAAATGTACTCTACGACATAGTTGATAAAACAGTGGGATTTTCTGCTGGATCTTGCGGCAACTAATGTCATATATTCATGTATAAGTAACTGAATGTAGACATCTAAGAAGCAATTGAGATGTTTCATTAATATTGCAATTAATAATTAATTAAGCAAGCTTTTTTATATCCTCAAAACCATAGATAAGTAGAACGTCTTCTATTCTTTTTAGCCTAATTTAATGTTGTACTCAACCTAGTTTCTGTGTATACGTGGGATTGTTTTAATGTCGATGTTTTTGCCAAAAAGAATTTGACATTACCATTAACCTCACACTGATGATAAGCTTGCAGATTCTCATGTTGATTACCACAACTAATCAAGCATCCGCCATGGGTGATTGATATGTTGCCATGTGAGGAAGATCGCATCATTTCAAACATATATAAAAAGCAGTGTTATTTTCAAGAGCTAAATGAGAAAATTGTTGATCTCCTTTTTATCAAATGAGCTAACACAGGTACAGAAACTTCGTAACTACAAGCCTCAAAGCCAGAGGCCTGCAGGTCATTTGGTCTTTAATACATTTTCTTTCAATTTCTCTTTTAATAATTAATGTTAGACAAACACTCTTCAGAGAAGAAAAAACAAAAAGTAAAAACGAAAATATCTTTAAACATTTTTTGCTGATTCATAGAATTATATGATGATACCATCCCATCAAGAGTTATTATGCTTGAATCAGTAATTCATGCTCTTGTGTGTGATTTTTTTATTAAGCTCGGAGAAGTTAGATTTCTACGAGGTTATAGCTTGATTCAGAATTAGTTCAGCTCAACACTTGTCCGATCCAGCATAAGCTCATCAAAGTATAGCTCGACCCAGCATAAATTAGTCGCAACCAATCCTGACAGTTATTCGACAGATCGCAAATAAGTTCAGATCTTAAATATTTTGGAAGAGATCAGATCAACAGCAATGATAGCGCGATCTTAGTGCTTAATTACGAGAATATTGGAGTTGCACTTTTATCTTCATTGTAATTCTTTTAATTTCATTATTTCCTTTGTAAGAAACTTGTATATAAAACCCTTCCAATTATGGAAGAAGGGTTCGCAAATTGTTTTAGACATATTGTTATTTCATGTAAGCTCTAAGCAATACGAGATACAGTGGACGTAAGCTCAAGATTAAACTTGCCGAACCACTTTAAAATCGGTTGTGTTCTTTGCTTTTTATGGAATAATATTACATCAACAACATTTTCTTATAAACCTTCTCTCATAAGTTTAACGTGATAGATTGCGAATTGGCACATCAGGATTGTGAGATAAAGTTGACGAGAAAAAGTTGTTGGTATAGTATTGTATTTTTTTATGCATTTACATTCATTGCTATATGTTCCGATTAGTCAATCGCATCATTTTAATGGGTGTAATTCATGTATCAACACATCCTAATTTTATTTACTATTTTTAATTGATAATGTGGTTAATGCGTCTGAAGAACTGATGAGAAAATATTCTTTTAACGAAAATATTTTTTCGTTAAAAGGGTCTGATAATATAAACCTGGACCACAGACGTTGCATGTTCTAGAGTGTCAGAAGAAGTCTCTTGTCTGGCCCATATGTTACTCCACAAACATAAGCCACCAGCTGTTTGGAAGTCTGAACTTACTAAGAGGATCAGCCGTAGGAGCTACGAAACAAATTCGGTATCGAATATATTTGTAGCAAAAATTACACTCATGCAGTGCAAGACCTGCAGCTAGCTGTTGTGTGTCGACTTTGGAGTCAAGTTCTTTGGCCTTTGCTCTTTAGTTTAACAACAAATTTCCATTCAGTAATTTGTGGCATTGTAAAGGAAATTATAGATATATTTCTCCTTCTATAAAACAGTACTTGTTCACTAAAGTGGGATCATAAATGCAGTAAAGTATTCACGGCAATTTGCTCTCATTGTGTTTCACCAGATTCATTCATTCAAACACGAGAGATTTCCTTCGTTTCTGGGCCAACTTTGGCCATCTTCTTCGCTTTTGTTTCCTATTTTTCTCTTTAGCTTATGGAGCCACAGAACTGGCAGATGATCGCAAACATGCAGTGGAAGTGAAGCGCCATTCATGCCTGCGGCATCTAAGAGCTCTCCTTTCACTAATAAAGGTTAATTTTCCATTCTTATATTATTTACTTATTTTGACACAAGACGTATATATCAATCCAATATAAAATAATTCTGACAGTTACAATTCTTTTTTCAGGACCCCGCTCACCATTTGACCTATGCCAATCCAAAGCTCGCTCTCTCTTTTTGTTCCCCAACATTAGTGATTTAATTGAAGGGGCTGAACTTTCTCTGCAGAAGAAGCCAATTGGCGATGACAATTATGTTGTCACAGTTGGCTTTGGCACACCTAAACGTGATTTAACCTTAATGTTTGACACAGGCAGTCCCACCACTTGGATCCAGTGCAAACCATGCATTCATAGCTATCAACAAAATGAACCCATTTTTGATCCTTCTCTATCTTTAACCTTTTCTAAATCTTCACGCCAATACACACAAAACTACCACGACAAGTCTTATGTCAGTGGAAATTTTGCACCTTAACCATAGCCACTGAGGTGTTTCATGACTTTGAGTTCCTTTGTGGGCATAATGTTAGTGGAACCTTTGGTGAAGTTGCCGGGGTACTTGGCATTGGCTTAAGTGATGATTCTTTCATGTCTCAAACTTTACGAAATTTTTATCTATTGTTCTGTTACTGTCTCCCATCCTCATAAACCTCAAGTGGGTTTCTTGTTTTTGGAATTGCAGCAGCAACAACAATTTGCTTTCCTCAAATATCCGTCACTTCTAAGAGATCCAGATGGATACAATCGTTACTTTATCAACCTTGTTGGTATAACAATTGGGCAAAAAAGACTGCAAATGCCTTTTTCAAATGATGGTTCATCATCGCAAATCGCCATAATAGACTGGAACTCTCGTCAGTCGCTTACCTCCATCAGTTTATTCACAACTTCGCTCTTCATTTAAGGAATTGATGTCAATATATCCTCCTGCTGAGCCAATAAAACCGATGGATACATGCTATAATCTTGAGGGTTACGATCAAATCAATATTATACCAATTGTGATCCTACATTTTGATAATGATATAGACTTACCTTTGGACCATAATTCTGTTGTTTTGGGTGAGAGTAATTCTCAAGTCTGCTTGGCTTTTGCTGAAGATACTGAAACAATTATCGGCAGTCATCAACAGCGGAATATAAAAATATTCTAAGACGTACATGATAAACAAGTGGGATTTTCTCGGGCTTCTGGTAGTAGCAGCAATTAATATCAGCGATTATCGTACAAATAACTTGATATAAAGAGCTAAGAATCAATCCAGATGTTCACTAATATTTCAATTGATCATTAATCAAGCATGCCTTCATTTAACATTGTACTCCTTGCTTCTATGTATATGAGGGCTTATTTTAATATTTGATTTTATGCCAAAAAGAATCTGACATTCATACAGATGATAAGTTTACAGATTGTGTTGATTATCACAATCAATTAATCAAGCATCTCAATATTTTATATGAATAAATTATAACTGTTAAGTGGCAAACTGTCACGTGTATTTAGTTTCTTCATAAATTAGATAAGTTAGAAAAGGGGATGATCTAGATCCAAGAAAGGTCGCAGTATGTCAAACATCAAAGCACACTTGACACTTACATTATTTTCCAGAGCTAAATTAGAAGATTGTTCTTCTACTTTTAATTGGATGAGCTGGGTTGCATGGTCAATGTGGATACTACATTTTGAAGGTAGAAGATGGGGCTAAAGACAAAATATGGAGTCTAAAAATCATTTTGACTCCACCCAATATTGTTTTTTAACATAAACTTCCTCTTTATATGGCTCAAAGGCCTAAAGATCATCTAGGCTTTGTTCCATATTTTTCTTCAATTTCTCTATCAATATTTGATGTTAGTCCCACTCACACACCGTCTAATTTATAAATACACTCATAATGCATATCGAGTCTGGGTTAAGCTTCTTTCATTACTGTTTTCTTCAATTTGTAGAAAAAATTCGCCGGAAACGTAAATATACTGAGAAGAATTCACCTTCTTAAATAATAGCTTTCAACTTAATATAGGAATTTACATTAGATGAGATGAGAGTTAATATCACTGGTAGCAGAAAGTTTAAAATCCACCATGTCTAAGGCTTGAGATTTAAAGTGTGAATTATTGGGAGCGAAAGTAGTGATCAATATGATATTATGTTGTTCTGTCACCTCAAGAATAAGTGGTTGAATTATATTTCTATTTTTTAATATGAAAATCAATCCCATAATTCACATACAGACGGGACAGTCAATTATGTGACCATTTAGTACGTGTTTAGTAAGCCTCCACAACAGCTTGATTTGATTGACGTTTCACACTAATAGAACTACTTATATAGCAATGATTAATAAAATTATTCATTATTATAGGGGACTTTGATGGTTCAAATTAATATTTAATATCACCAGAAAATACAAAATCTGAAATTAAACCACGATGAGCTCCCAGAATAAACATTAGGACATAAAAGCCAGACTTTATTCAGTAATATTTCAAATTACCTTACATAATAGGATTACATTTTCAAACATAAATTTAAAACACTCTACAGCTGGCTGTTAATTTCGATCAAGAGCTAAACTTGAAGATAAACGAATTGAGCTTAATTAGCTGCAACCTCCGGGACCAAACCCAACCTTCCCTCCAGCAACATCGTAGCGCACGTCTGTTGCTCGTTGCTGAACATTCCCTAAAATAAGAGGCTCTGTTTTATCAGTACTCGCTCTAAAAGCTAAGCACGCATAGTGTTTGTTATTCTTATTGATAATGGACAAAATTCTCTTCACATCCAGCTCCAGCTCAACCCCGCCTTTGAAGGAGATTGAAATCTTTGGTATTATAAAACTCTCAGCTGTGCTTAAATCTAAACAAATACTTTGATCTTCATCATCACTCAATGGGGTTAACTTGTTATGTTCCGAAATCTGTTTAACGAAAGAGATTTCTAGAGTTATGTACGCCTTCTGTGGCAGGTATGCAAATGTTGTTCCTGAGTCTATTATCGCACCCGATTTCATATAATCCGAACTTTTAACCGATAAGTTTTTCCCACCAACACTGATTCCGGTTACTACAATTCCGTATAACTCCTTATCCTGGGGTTTAGTGGTTAGTGGAGTGAATTTCAGAAACTTATTTTTAATTCCATTATCAGCGGTCTTACCAATGGTTATGTATCCAGGCGAGCTAGCAGATGAAGGTAGACAGTATGAGAAGTACTTGTTGAATAAAGCGGGCATTTGTGATATTATGGATACTGAACTTTGGTCGAGTCCAATTATTCCGGAAGCTCCTGATAAGTTTTTGATAGACTTATAATTTTATAATTTTATTATCCTTGCATTTAGTTTATTTGGCATGTTTAATATCTTATGGTGCCTATTTGTGATGATTTTTATGTATAAGACATTTGTGGTTAAGAGTTAGTAAAATATACTTAAAATTAGAAGGTTTCAACATTTTTACTTTTGGATGTTTTGGGTCGTTTGCAGATTTTTGATGGACTTAGAGTTGCAGTTTGGTTTCTGGATCATCTATGAAGTTAAAGTAGACATCTTAAGCTTTCCAAGTGGCACGTCCAGAGATGACTTCACTTGGGCCTCCAATTGTTGGTGTAAAGTCAGAGCTAAAAACTGAAATTGAATCTTAATTAGAGTAGGATTTCTGTTCAACCACTGGAGCTTTAAAAGGGCATAACTGGAGCTTCTGAAACTCAAATGAGACGATTCAAAAGCCCAAATTGAAGTATACATCCTGAACTACAATTCTTATGGAGGGGCCAAAGTCCAGAAAGCTCGTTGTCCTATCCAAAACTGACCTGGAATTTATGGCTTTAGCCTAGAAGCTTTAATCCTGAGCTGATTTTGATTATTTTTGTACGGCTCCTATAAAGACTTGGTCCAAGTTCAAGAGGGAGTTCAATACAAGTCTGGAGGGCTGGAAATTCATGTGTATGACTGGAATTTCACTTGCACAAATTAAGGGCAGGTTTAAAGAGAGAGAAATAAGTGTTTTCCTAAAAGGGTTTAGTTATTTGTCTTAATGTTAGGAGTTGACTTTAAAAGGGAAGCTTTTATATGTTCCTTTGAGATAGAAAATATAATTTTTAGGCTGCTAGGGTTTTGGAGGTTGGAGACAGAACGCAATTTTATTTTTCCTTTTATTTGTGCCTTTCATCTCATCATATCGGGTTAAATTCTTTAGTTCGTTCATGGAAACTCCAATCCGGTTAGCATAATTGTGAGATTTTGTTCTTAATCTTAGTTATTCTTCTATTCGTATATCGGTGTTTCTTTGTTTTATTTATTATCAGATTTAATTGATTAAAAAGGTTTGTTAATTGATTGATTTTGTGATTGATTGCTAAACTGAATTTGTAATCCGTAATTGTTATAATATTCAGTTACAGTAGTAATGGCATTGAGGGCTATTTGCAATGACGTTGTTGATTTAATATTTCATGAAAAACAAGAAGCCACCACCATTAAGTTCTTAACCAGATAACAAAAAAAATCATAGTGAGAAATTTAAATAATAAAAAAGTTTTTTGCAAATAAGAAATTGAAAATAATTAATTAAAGGAATGAAAACTCATGGGTAGATTATTTTTCTAGTATGTTCTGAAAATGATGATGATGATGTAAAGGTGAAGAGTTCAAAAAGAAAAAACAACAAATATATTTCTTTTAATTAGAGTAAAAGGTAATTGCTGAAATATTAAATTATTTACAAGGATAGCATTGAAAAATTAAATTATTAACAAAATCCGTCATTTTATTAAAATTGATGGAATTGGCAAAATCCCACCTACTAGGTGGGATTTTAAAACCCTAAAAAATGAAGGATTTTAGAGGGTAGTAGATCTTCCAAAATCCATGGACTTCAATTTATTTTTATTTTTTTTAAACCAAATGAAGGATTTTACCAAATCCATGGATTTAACAAAATCATTTATTTATAATCCCTCGATCCAAACGAGGCCTTATAAGTTTTAAGGGAGAAGTGAAGTTATAAATCCTATTATATCGAGACGAATTTGAAGATTCTCATCAAAAAATTTGAGCTCATCCCTTGCAATTACAATACACTAACATTATTTGAGCAAATTATCACTAACTGCCAGAGCTAAATTGGAAGATAAATCTTAGCTAAGCTTAATTAGTTGCAACTACCAATAGCGAACCCAAGTTTCCCATTAGCAACATCATCTATTACTCTTTGCTGAATAATCTAGATTTTCTTATGTAGAACAAATAGGATTAAACTTTGTTAGGATGGTAAGTAATATGTCAAAATATGAGATATCGTATGAAGTTTAGAGTGCTCTTGAGAAATTGCAAGCTTCCCAGTCAAAATAATGAAATCAGTTGGTGAAACTGTTGTTTTTTAAAATGTTTATGTGATAGTTTTAGGTGAATGCAGCTGGTGATTAAGGTTCATATTAATGTAATGTACTTGCATTAGTTAAGCTTGAATGGTTAAGATTGTGTTTGTAAAAATATCCTCTAGCTAGCATTACACGAAAAAGTTGATAAGAAAATAGTGAATGATGTCAAGGTGCAAGCACAGGGGACTGGTGAAAGTCTAAGGCATTACGATTTGTTTCATACATGTTTTTATCATCATACTTTGAAATGAGTACACAATATAGATGGTGTGGAGAACTTCATCGAATTGCTGGCCATTGCAAATTCATATCATAAGATATGCTCATGCAAAGACAAATACACAGAAAATCCAAAATTGTGTTTAGTTTCTGAAGAGGGGCTGGATAAGTCGCATCATATCTTTTTTTTAATACCATTAATATTCGTAATTAACCCCAGAGGAGTACTGCTAATGCATGCACAACCCACTTGATCTTTGGCTGAATGACATTTTTCCACTCTAGGTTTAGCAAAAATACTAGTTGATACCCTTAGTTTCAAAAAACATCAACGTTTCACCCGATTTTCATTTCAAACGGTAAGAATAACGATCAAATGGCATGTATGTCTTTTTCCATCACATCTTCTTCAACAGAGTATGTAAAGAGGAAAAAAGTAGTTAGTTGCAACCATGGTCGTCATCACTGTTGCAAGGCCTGACCATGGTGGTCATCATCAATGATGAGATCAAAGAAGAAGTTCTTGGTATCAATGGAGATGGATTTGACATTGTTAGAGTAAGCAAGTTTTAGCTTAGCCTGCTAAGTAAGCTTGATGACATGGCACTATATGAGTCAAAGTTAGTTATCCATGTGAAGTTGATAGGCTGTCATACAATAGTACACGTTTTTCATTAGTAAAAAATTATAGAGTTACAAAGAAGAGTTTTCTATAAGTGATCCGATCAACCTTGACGGGATTGGAATTGATATGTGCGTGTTTACGGGTAACCAACAATGAATAAAAGATAAATGCAATAAAGTAAATGACAAAGAGATTTTTAAAGTAGTTCAGCGAGTTGAACTCTTGAGCCTACGTCCACTTTTTTTGTATTTGCTATGAGAGCTTATAATGATAATCCTAGAATAATTTGCTAAGCCCATCCTCATTGTTGGAGGGGGTTTATATACAGATTTTGTATAAAAGAAAGAGCAAAAAATAAAGGGATTACAATTAAGTTTGAAATGCAACTCCGATATTTTCGCGATAGAGCGTTGTGATTGCGCAAAGATTGGTGTTGATCTGATTGTTTATGAGATATCCAGGATCTGAAGTTATCTATGAATTGGTTGAACAACTATAAGGATTGGTCGCAACTAGCTTATGAACTTATGTTGAGTCAGACAATCGATAGAGTCGGGCTGGTCTTGGGTCAAGCTACAACTCACAATTCTCCGAGCTTGAGGGAAAAATCACACACAACATTTTCTATCACTTTCTTGGCTAAATTCTCACTTTTAGTCTTGTTGTCAGAGCTATGGACAAATTGATAAATCATCAAACTAACTCGAATCAGTTCTTCTCAATAGCCAACATCACCAAAAACTTCATAACAACTCTGTAAAGTTTTGTGACTCCAATCAAATTGGAAATATCGAATTTTAGGGTTTGGAAAACTCAAGTTCTTCCACCTATAAGAGCTAATGATTTGCTCGACTTTATCGATGGCTCTTGACCTAAACCAAAAGCAATTATTACGCAATTGAATTGTTGAAAATCTATATTTTCTTTTATAGAACAAATTGGATCAAACTTTGTTAGGATGGTAAGTAATATGTCAAAATATGAGACATCGTATGAAGTTTAGAGTCCTCTTGAGAAATTGCAAGCTTCCCAGTCAAAATAATGAAGCTTTGATTACAACTACAGAGTACTTAGAAATGACAGATGAGTTATTTTTATAAAACTACAAGTGTAGCAGATGATCTAATTATTGTTGGATATCTTGTTTCCAATCATGATCTCATTATGCACATATTAAATGGAGTAGGTGTAGAATATGATTCGGTTGTCACAGTTGTTACAACAAAGAGGGATGATTTTGATTTGCAAGATATGTTTTCACTTTTGCTTGCACATGATAGCTGTCAGAGTTTCTTTGATCAAATATGATAAAACTATGCTCTTAAATGAACAATCCCAACAAGATTAGAAAAACAATCAACCACAGAACAATCAATAGGCATCAAGATTGTTGTAAACCTGAGTCAATCTTTTCCTAATCAAGATTCAACACAATCAAACACAGATCAAATAGAGAAAAGGAAAAACATGCAATCTTTTTACTGTGGTTCACTTGTTCAAGATTGAACAAGCTACGTCCACATTGAGCTCCAGAATATGTAGGCTCGCTGCACTATTATTATTGTCACCAAAGATTAGAACACACCACTCAATCTTCTCTTCAAGCCCTTACTAACAATCACTTATATACCCATAAATCTATAATCCTAATGAGAATTCTAACCTGATTCTCTACACCACAAAGAGACACAACTTTGATGGGTGGATTGACCACTGATTTACACAAGAGCAAAGTACTATTCAAAGAACCCTAGCAGAGCATTTTTGATTGAGCAATTTTGATCAAAAGAGACTGTTCAGAATGAGAAAAGACTTCACCTTTTATATGGTTGACCAGCAATAAGTCTCCAACCGTTAGATTTCTTGGAGATCAATGGCTAGAATGCAAGATGTATTAAAGCTAAAACGACAGCGTAAAGGCTTCACTCATTAACAATCTCCACCTTGAAGCCTCATTCTTTCTCCAGACAGCAACAAATTTGTGCAGCAAGCTTCTCATATACTCCTTC